AAAGTAACGAGCCAATTTTTTAAAATGTAAGGAGTAGAAAGTACAGATATTTGTGTAAAAATGTAAGAAGTACAAGTAAAAAGTTGCCATAAAAATAAGTAGTAAAGTAAAGTAAAAATATCAGAAAAATCTACTTGAGTACAGTAACGACGTATTTGTACTTTGTTACTTCCCATCTCTGCCGATACCATCGGTTGGAAATTGATGTGTGTGTATATATATGAAGAGCTGCATACTACCTGGATGTAAAATAATTGCCATCATGGATTTGTCAAGCTGCTGCCTACCTTTGTGAATCTAGAAACAAAAAGACTAATACAAAGTGAATCCAGTAGAACTTTTTATTGCCTACCTGGAATAGGTGACAATAGTTGAATAAACTTTTGGCTCTCATAATGGTACCGGTATCCTATTTGTTGGTACTCGCCGATACAGATGACACCATTTTAGTGCTGGATTGGGGTCCCGCCCGATAATGGTATCGGTGCATCACTAATAAAAACCAAATGGCATCACATGTTTTATACATAAATCCCCCCCAAAAAATGTGTTCTTTGTTACAGTGATACAAAACACATACCTTTTTGGAAACATGTTTTCAAATCTGCCCTGATTGTGATGTAGTGATGTCTGTCCTTGCTCACCCACTTGGTCAGGTCAGACGACAATTACCAAGTTTAAAGTTACTATAAAACTTCTTCTAAAGCTTTTTCTCTTTAAACAGGCTTTAAAAAGCACTCACACGGCCTCGTCCTCTTACTCCCGTCCCTCACTTCATGATAAAGTGACACACTATCTCTTTTACTGGTTTCTCTGTCTTTAATGAAAATGGATAGTCCCTCACACACCCTGGCAGTCATTGATCGAGGGACAATAAATGTTTTATAACCCCTACAATGACCACAGCCACTTTTCTGTTCTACCCAGAATGTTTTGAGGTAATAGAGATGATGCAGTTGGAGTCCTAATATTTGCAGTCTGGATATAGGTGGGAGAGTGATGGATATCTCTGGTGGTGTTAACATGTCAGCTCTTTTATGAAGTGTCTGAAAAGAATTTGTTAAAAAAAAAACATGGAAAATGTAAACCCTTCATTAAGTCGCCTGATGTTTCCATTAAAGCGCAGTTAAGCTGTACTTTGTCTCAACCAATAACTTGGACCCTCTTTGACGTTTGGCACGGTGGTACCATTCAACAGGAAATGCCTTTTAACACAGTAGGAAGTAGAAACGTTACCTCTTTGAAAACTCCACTCTTTGTTTTCGTCTAATCGCATTAGGAGACCGGCCCCCAGTGTCTGTACTTGGCTCCAGCCGGCACTCAGCTCCCTTTTATTTTCAGTCTGAATTGAATTTCTTCTGACGATGCCGACCACTCAGAGGTTAATCTAACAATTCTCTAAAGTCGTGTCTGGGAATCAGTATGCTGAGGAATGAGAAGAATGCAACAAGCCTAACTGGACTTGACTTATGCGTTAGTTAATGGTTTGTCAAGTCGTGAAAAAAAATCCCCTTGTGACTCTGGGGGAATAACTTCAACTCTCATGTACAGTCGGATGTTTCCCTAGGATTCAACTGCTTGTTCAAAGTGAGCTGTTTTTGCCTGCTCTGGGAATATGGGTGGAAATTAGCACTTGACCTATAACCAGTATAATGCCTCTCTCCCCTTGAGGTTAATGTTTATTATACACTGTCCCTGTTTCTCTAAATAAATAAACTAAGCAAAAGAAAAAGTCATTCTTAAGATTTTACTAAAAAAACCATACAGTATTTTCTATACTTTAATAGGTAACATTCTCCTTAATAATGTTTATTCGAATTATTGGTTAGGTCTTTACAACATAAAAGTTGCTGGACTGTTAAAATTAGAGATCTACGGACCCATCTCTGAAATGCATCATAATAAAAAGAACAACCTTTAAGTTTATTAAGTTCAGTATTTCAGAAAAGAAATTCATATGACACAGGAATGAAGACAGTTTTTTAATCCCTTTCTAACCTGGATGCGTTCCATTGCATTAATCACCTGTGTATGGTGATGCCAGAAAGAAGGTTGAATCTTAAGCTGTCCTCCCCATAAAATGGACTTGGTCTTGCATTGAAGTTGAGTTTATCAGATATATAAACATTGCAGAAATATTGCTGGACCTTTGTCCAACATTTTGCCAAATTACAAGCACCCTTTTCAAGGCTTTGTATTGTATTTAATTTCTGAAGATGTTTAAGGCAATGTTTGGTTATAAAGCCATGTCCTGAGTTGAAGTTATTAACCATCAAGGGAAACAGATATATCTTACTGTTTGTATTGAATGTCATTGATACTTTGAAGCTATAGTTGATGATTTTTTTATCATGCTTGTCTGCATCACCATAAACTTTGATTTAATGTTATAGAGGTTACGTATGAGCTAGTGATGCTAGCCTTCCAATCTTATTTGGTGAGAGCTGACTAACAGGTTTGTTTGTTTTGGATTTTTGTTTAATGCAAACTGTCAGTGACAGGTGCACAGACTGAGCGTCAAAGACATCAGATGCTGCAGTTCAAAACGAGCAACTTCAATTTGAACGTGGATGGGTCAGCTTAATGTCAGGCTTTCTGGGTCCTGAAACCCTCGCTCTGACTAGTGTTGTTTGTGCGGGTGTTTGTGCATGGCATAGTGTGAAAGTGTCTCGCAGCTGACAGGCCTTTTAGAGGAGCAGGGCATGGGGCCATGGAGCTGCAGCTGCCCCCTCTCTGTGCGCTCTTTGGGCAGAGACACGACTTGCTTCCACACCCACAACTTAACGCACACATGAAAACACACACAAAGGCTTGTTTTTCCCTCCTCTGTTACGAAGGGGAGGCGTGTTTTGGGAAGTTTGTTTAGGTTCTTCTGCATTTTTAACCCTTGCTTTATCCTTCTTCATTCAGTGGCCACAGCAGTTAACGGTCAAACTTGTTGAACTTTAAATAGCATGAAGTGGCTGTCCCTGATGCAGACGAGTTTACTGCAGGCACCCACACCCATACTCGACACTTTGCTGTGCACGCATAAATATAGCCTCATTGTTTCAACTGCTGAACACACTTTGAGGTCTCAACGGTTGTTCTGTTTATGGTTTGTTTAGCTTAGAATTATGGCCTTCCCACCTATTCCTTATCTGCATTGCACACACTTGTGCTATTAAGACCCATGCTAATGAAACAAGTGTTTCATCTCTGTTATCAATGAAAACTGATTTTTCTTCTGGTTAAAGATACCAGCATCCTGAAACCTGACGGTAGCAGCCAGCTCCAGAGTGACCAGGACCTAAATTGGTGTCTGCCTTCTAAAATCATCTGTAATCTGAAATGAATGCAGTTTTATGAATGTTAAGACCATTATCACAATCAATGGTATTGGTTATTTATACCAAAGATGATGGTTGTCTAAACAGAAAACTGAGTTAGAGGAGCTTTTCTGCCAATAACACTCCTTGTGAAAAACCTGATGAGAACATAGTATGCAAAGTACTTCCAAACAGGGTTCCTTTGAAAAACGGAATGTTCCGTATTTAGAAATAGAAGTACCTGTCGCTTATTTACTGGAAAAGGAACGCACTTTGTCCCGTATTACTGTGAGAGTAAAGAAATAGTCAGTAAAAAGCTAATGAAAATTGAATAACAGGGGCACGTTACGTACAAAACTTACGGTAAACTTGTTCCCCTCCCTGTCCTGCGTTTTGACCAATGAGCTGACAGCCTATATGTAACGATCCAGAATACCCTCATCCCATTGGTCGAGCCAAGTGTTGCTCAAGGAGAAGATAGCGGGAGACAACAGAGCAGTATGGAGGACGAACAGAGTAATTTAGACGCTGATTTACTCAGCTTTAATCTGCAGCATTCAAAGACAGACAACTCCTCACTGCTGCAAGAGCTCCGAGAAAATAAAAGTGTAAAAAGTAGGCAACCGTCACATAATGTGGCATTGAGCTAATGATTTTTTTTTTCTGTTTTACAACTGTAGCCTACAGTTATTGCATTAAAAGCACAAATATGTTTACAAGTTTGCAGAAGTTTGCTGTTGCACCAAAAATGTGCACTATTTATTTATTGTTTTATATTAATTTTTACAGTTTGAAGTTAAGCAGGACAGGCTTATGTTTAAGATAATTATTTTATTCAGCAAAGTTTGTTATTTTGTATTAAAGTGAATTGCTGGATAATAGTTTGTTTTCCATGTGTTCATGTCACTTGCAATTATGCATCTAATTCAATGCAGATTTGAATCAAACAGCTAAAAAATATCATTTCACACACAAAGGAAGGCTAAAAAAACAATGACCACGCCAGGAAGGGTAAAGACAATTTGGTCAGCTGGCATGAGGAAGAGGTGTCCTTTTTTTTCAGGGACTTGGCAAACCTACTTCCAAATATAGAATGTAAATCAACAGTGACACCTGCACTTCACCCTGAAACATGTGTTCAAAAATGCTTGGTGGGAGGTCAACACCCACCTTGTTGTGGAAATTCGCCGACGTTATTTAAGTTCAGCAAATGTCCTCTTTTGACTGTCTTTTGGACCTGTTACACCATTTCTACATGGGACCAAAAATGTGGAAACGGAGCACCTTCACCATATCTAAAGTGATCTATGGATCGAGTCAGTTTTCCCTTCTAAAGGCATCATTGTAAATCTTAACATTCTAGCTTAGTAGTTTTGCTTCTGGTTATGGAAAAGCATGTCTCTGCTACACTCTACTAAATTGTGGAAAATATAGTCTTTTACCTCAGTTAATAATCAATCGTCTTTGTAAAAGCCTGACCAAATGCAAATCAGGTGCAAGAAATTGTACAGCTCAACTTTGGTCATTGACCTTCTGGGTCAAACAATTGACCTCAACCAATGGGACCAATCTTTTAAATAAGCTAACTGCATACTTGAAAATGCTAAATTATCCCTTTGATGTAAACATTTCAGTGGTAATATGATGTTTTTTTTCATTGGATTTCATTATTCCACTCCTGTTTGTTTCCAGGTTTGGATGATAGCTTGCAGCAGTATGTCAGCAACTTTGAGAGGGAAAAGATCAGTGGAGAACAGCTATTGAAGATCACTCATCAAGACTTGGAGGAGCTTGGCGTGGCAAGGATTGGACACCAGGAACTGGTCCTGGAGGCTGTGGATCTTCTCTGTGCTTTGGTGAGTAGATGTGAATTGGTCCCATTTGGTGTCAATCATCAGGGACTAAACCCATTAATCATAAAATGCGGTCATGAGCTTCAATTTAATGTCAGCCAAATGGTGTAGAATTTTCCACATAACATAAAAAGAACAGAATTATCCCAGGGCGAAGAGACCGCGGGTGTCCACAGAGGTTTACTGCTCTGCTTGCCAGTTTGAAGCTGTAGGAATGTATTTTCCATCTTTTCACATCTTCAGCTTCACCCAACGGTCTGTCATTCCTGCACTCCAAACAAAGACATATAAATATGTCTTTCTTTTGCTCTCTAGCATAAAAATAAAAATAAAAAAACCTACATGCTAAGTTTCCCAAGGAACTCAGGTTTTCTCACAGATGGGATTAATTTGGAGTTTTATCACTTCCTGTGCCATAAAGGGTCCAGAATGTGTTCTTTGCATTTTTATCAGTGTCAGCATTTTGAACCTCATGTTCCCCTAGAACACATTACATTAATCACCTGCGTATGGTGTTTTTTTTGGCAGAAAGAAGGTTGCATCTTAAGCTCTCCTCCCCATAAAAGTTGAGTTTTGACTCTAAACTTGGTTAAAGCATCCAACAAATATACCTTCTCCACTATGACTGAACAGCTTAAACACTGAGGATTTATCTTCAAGTCTTAAAAATTTGAGAGAAAATGTAGCTAAAAATGAAGTCAGCTTTAATAATTTATTTTATCAGATATAAACCTTTGCAGAAATATTCCTGCACCTTTGTCCAACATTTTGCCAAATTACAAGCACCCTTTTCAAGGCTTTGAATTGTATTTAATTTTTGAAGATGTTTAAGGCAATTTTTCGTTATAAAGCAATGTCCTGAGTTGAAATCTTTTTTAAAAACACTGATCAACAAATCTTCAAGAAACAGAAAGAAGATGATTGTAAACCAACCAAGTTATAGCGGTCTGTTTAAAGGGATAGAAAAGAAAAGGTGATTGTTTGTCAGGCAACCAACTAAGATACCCTTACAGTTGAAAGTATCTGTTTGCTCTGAGCTTTACAAATATGGCCTTCTGTAAAATTTGGCAAGAATAGTGAGATTGATTGTAAGAAAGCCAAGAGTGTACCAAGCATAGCGCATTCTGGTATTTAAGGCTAGATCTAGCATTCTGTGTTCTAAATGTTTGCAGAGTTTAACTGATTTTCCACCAAATACGACTCACCAAAGTTCCAGCAAAACGCCACGGAGTCGGCTATATTCTCTCTCTGTTTTTCTTTTAGTCCCGCCCCCCAGTCAATCAGAATTCAGAAAAATGGTAATCACCTAAAAGCAACTGACCTTAGGCAGAACCAAAAAAAAATCACATATACACAGCAATCTAGTCTTTCACACCTCGTGTTGAACTGTACTTTGCATAAAAAACTATACAATATTTTCCCCTCTCTAAGTGACAAAACACAATATTTTAATAGACTTTTTACTTCAACTGTTTATTTTTTATGTAACCCAGAGGGTTACATAAAGAAACCATCTTTCCATTCAACAGAAATTTGAATTTTGATTGTTCAAAAAAGGAAATGCAAATTTGCAGTGTATCCATTTGGTTCAAAGCAAATTAACCAAGGACACAAAGGCGTCCTACGTTGTCGTCAATATTGCGGCGTCCCGCATGGCGGTAATAAACATGGGCTGAATCTCAAACCCACCCCTAAACCTCCATTTGCGCGTTCCTGTGGAGGTTCCTCCACATAAAGGGCCGTCCCAGACCACTTAGTGGACGGCTCAGCCCTTAAATAGCGAGTCTGCATCAGTGCAGTGTCTCTGGAACTTGGCTGCGTGTGCAACGTCAAACTATTGGCAGAGGAAACGTGTGCATTTTAATATAAGTTCTGCTGGTTTGCTGCATCTTCATCACGCTGACAGAAAATCACAAGTAAAAATAAAAAAAGATGTAATTAATCCCTAAAGGTCCTCTTTAAGATTTTACTATATAAAAGTATTGTTATATTATAATATTTTACTGGATTGATGTATTTTTAAGAAAATTGCAAACATTTGATGTTAGCTTAACTTGCACCACAGAGACACAGGGTGTCATTGTGTTGCCATAGCAACGACTGCTTTCCCACCCCCATTCACGTTTATACCCCCCACAAACAATCCAGGCACCTTCCACGGCTGTGAGGGTGACTTTATTGCGAGTAACACTTGATAGGGAAGAGTTAGTGTTTAGGGGGCGGTTTGGGATTCAGCCTGGAAGTAGAAGCTGGAATCTACACTGCAAAAAATAGAAAACTAAATCTTTTTCCCTAAAATAAGTGCATTTTTTCTTGAACTGAGGAGGTAAGTGAGACACTTTGCTGATGGAACAAGACAAATTACATTTAAAATAAGAAAAAACAATTGCTTTGTCTTATTTCAAGAGCATTTTATCTAATTATCTTACTTTAGGAGTAAAGATACTCATTCAATTGGCAAACCACCTATTTACCTGCTCAAATTAAGGTTAAATACACTTAATTTAAGAAATGTTTTCCCTATTTCTAGATTGTTTTTGCAGTGTAGCTCTGACCACAGATCAGTAATGTTGGAAAGTTCTAATAGTTTTAATGTGTTGCTATTGGGCAAGTTGTTCTTACTTTAACATGTCAGCAATGGCGATTTTGCTTCCAGCCATGTTTAGGTGCATAATAGGAACTTCTGGGACAACTTAAGCAACAGCTGATCAGTCATGTGAGTTCATGTGCTAGGTTAGAGCCGATTTTAAAAAGTGTTTCCATCTCCCATTTTGCGCACCGACGTTTTCTGCAAAAGTCAAAAACGGCCTCAAGCCAGCGTAAAAACGTTTTTGTGAATTTTTGCTGTTTCCACCAAGTTTATCTAATGTGATATTTCAAAATGCATTTTAGAAAAAGCTGATAGAATGGTAACTAAAGGTGTGGAGGAAAATATTTTTGTCAGATGAGCCCCGCCCATCATCCTGAGGACACCATCCCCATCTTTTGTTTCCTTTATCTGAAAGAAGTGATTCATCCTTTATCGGGTTGTTGTGTAAATTCTGTCTGCAACTACAATAGCAGACACCTGGAAGCACTTGGCTCTATCCCAGCGTTCTGTTTCGGTCTATAGATTTACTGTTCATATGATTTGTACCATATGGAGCATTCACTGATCTGGAGTTCCTTTTATAATAAAACACAGGAATATGTTCATCCTTTAAATATTTTTCATCCTTGCAACTAAAATGTAATTTAATACTTTTGATGATCCTATTTTCTTTCATTTAGATACAGATTGATAACTTTTTTTTTTTGGCATGGATGAACTTCCCCCTCTTTTTTTGAGCTTGTAGTCAGGAATAATGGACTCTCTGCAACCTTTCACCTCTGCCGGAGTGTCCACAGCTTTGTGGTTTATGTTTGTTAAAGGTTTCCTTAGTAAGAACGAGTCCTCAGATTTCTGTGTGTCCCTTAAGAGGAAGTGATGGCTCCCAGATTTACCGGTAATTAGCTTTCACTGAGACAAGGTCACTGCAACCGACAGGAACTTAAGACGTCAACACTTCTTATGCTTTTCCTCAACTCTCTGCTTTTTTACTAACTGCAGACATTTACAGTTATGTTAGTCTTTTCAACACTTTTTTTTTTATTTTCTCCTTTTCTTTTTGAAATCTTTATACATGTGCATGGACACTATTAAAGGAGCCTGATCACTTATTATGACTATTAAAAAAAACACAAAAAAGTTTAATAAAACAATATACACTAATTGTTTGTCCTGTTCATTTCGAACCTAAAAAGAAATATTGCACCATGCAAAATCAGCAGACATTTGAACGTCAGATATAGGCTACTCTAAAATGCCCTTAGGTGGGAGTTTGTGTGTGCATGGTTGTTTGTCTCTGTGTTGCCCTTTGATGGACTGGCGGCCTGTCCAGGGTGTACCATGTGTTTGGCACGTTGATAAGCTGCAGAAGATTGATGGTAATTTGAACGATGGCAAATATCCTACGCATTATATAGTGTATAAACTTTTCCATAGCTGTTTCTAAAACCTTTAATGTCGCCTTCCCATCACCAGTTTCTGTATTAGCAAGGCTGTTTAGTGAGCCATCCATCAACTTGGCAGGGAAATCTGAATGCTTAAACAGTTTTATCTTGTCCTTCAGTGAACACCAACAAAAATCGTGCGAATCGTGTCTTATCCCTCTGAGCTTTTATTTTGTTTTTTTGCACTTTTGCTCTTGCTTGTTGCACCTTTTCTCTGTGTCATTCACTTGCCTGGCTTCATAGCTTCTTCCAGTATTGTACCTTGGGTCACCTGGTCTTGTTGCTCTGTTTAAAATACACAAAGTGCATTGTCCACTAACAAATAGATTAAAATCTAAGAGTAAAACACATAAATAGATGATACTAAACCAACAGGGCAGGATAATTTAATAACACATTTGTAAGTCATAGTATGTAACTCGGACCCATAGTGTGTAGAGGGCTGCTAAGACTTTCAAGCCTAAATAACAGATGTCCAACATGAAACTTTTAGGAAGCTGAAGCTTTTCTTACATTAAAGAGGCGGTTTTCCGTCTAGGGACAAACACTGATGTTGAATTTGCTGTAGTGTGCATCCCTCTGGCCTAATGTCTTTTACAGAGCTGAACTAAGGTTTGTTTTAAAACCCAACTGATCCACGAGCACATCTTGACATCCGCTTATAAAATGTGTAACCGCTAGATGGTGATCTTAAATTTTCTTTGATTTTCTTTATTTACTTTAGGCTTTTTTTATAATTTAAATGGAATATTAACCCTAAAGACCATCTTTACTCAATCCTGCTGTTATATTTTTTATTGGGGAAAAAAACACGACCAACTGCACTCAGTTGTGATCACTTATCCTAAGTCAATAGACTTTGGTTAAGTTTTAACATTTACTTCAGTCTTTTAAAGATTTAGGTCAGAGGTCACAGATTGGCGGACTGTGGTCCAGATTCGGACCCACCTGTGGCTAATCCGGACCCAACCTGATTTAAAACATTTATAAATTACCACATGCTCTCTGACAATCGTGTCTAACTTTACTTGCGCCGCTTCTCCTATTAATATTGTAAAGCCCTCTGGAGCATCCCGAACCAGGCTGCACGTGATCCAGATTAGCCAATGAGCTGCGTCAGTCTGGGATGTTGCTGCTGGCTATTTTTAGACACAGCAGGCAAACCTGTGGCAAGCCGAGAAGACGATTAGAAAAAGCAAGCAGGAAAAGTGTGGACTGCTGGAAGAACCGTGGTGAACTGGTGAAAGAAAAGTGAAATGGCGTGCTCAAAGATGACTCTGCACATTTTGAGTATTTTTGGCTCAACCTGCTGCTGTGAAGCAGGATTCTCCATGAACATAATCAAAAATAAATATTGATCCAGGCTCAAAATGAGCACCTTGATAAGTGCTTTATAATGGCTTTGTCTGCATTTAAACCCAGGTTTAAAGCCTTGCAGGGCAGCCCAAAGCCCACTGCTCTCATTAAGCCATAGAAGAGAAAGAAAAAAAAACTATCAGTTCAGGTGTTTTATAAATAAAATATGTGAATCAGAAAATTGTCTATATAACAAACTGAACAATTGTTGTTCTCTACTTCAAAAAACACTTTAGATTTTAAAATGTAAAAATTGTTCTATGTCAATGTTAAGTCAATGTAAAACATAGATTCATAAACACCTGCATTTCATTTCAGTGTTAAATTCTGTTTAAAGTAACAGATCATAATTATAAATGTCCTCGGACCTTTACTGGTTGGTAATTTTCTTTATTCGGACCCCGCTGATTTTTAATTGGTTACTCCTGGTTTAGATCCATCTATTTATGTCCTGAGCTTAAATATAATAATTGAACTTTATTGATCTCACATTGGAAAAATTTGCCTCTGCATTTCACCCATCCCCTTGGGGAGCAGTGGGCTGCTATCGTGGGGCACCTGGGGAGCAGTGTGGGGTCTTGCTCAGAGAGCCAGAGTGGCAGTCTGTAGGAGTGGGCTCGAACTCAGAACCTCTGGATTTAAGCTCTACGCCCTGACCAATTATTACTTTAAGACATTATTTTAATTGTTTTGTCACATAAACCTGCATAAAAGTTGAAAAAAAGAAACTAATGACCCCAATCAATAGATAGAAACCTCATCCTGGAATTACTGCTAATTTCATTGTGAATCAACAGTCCGCCTCATGGTTCAGTTTCTTACACAGACATGGATTTCTAACTTCCACTCTACATAGACAGCTTGTTATTTTTATGATAAGAACCAAAGGAAATCTCTTTAGTCTCACTTCTATCTAACAAACAACTGCAGACGGTAAAAATGAGAATTCAAGTCTGCCTTTCTACTCCTGTAGGGAGGCAAGACTAAAATAATGGTTTAAAGGAGTCTGTTCAACTCAGCTGCTAATGTGCACAAAAGCTCTCTAGACATCTGTTGAAAAAGTCAGAGCTCCTGTGTGTGATTAGCCTGCTAATAAGAAGACAGGAGAGGTGTTTGTCTTGGAAAATGCTCAAATTCCTTTTGTGCTAAAGTTGCACTTTAACTATGGAAATGTGAAGCCAAAGACTGATGATTTCCTCCCTCTGTTTTTAGGGTTGCATATCTTAATGTTTCTACAAGCCAGTGAATGTGAAGTGCTGCAGGAATAAAGCTGCTTACAGCTGCTGTTTGAACACTCAGATTATCCCAGGTTTTTTTTCTCGGGACAGAAAAGGACCAAATTGGTTTATGTACTTTTATTTTAGGGCAGATGTTTGAGAGCTGAATAAAATGAAACACTAACCACTTGCAGATTTCTGGTGATGATTGCCAAACACTTGCCGTTTCACTTATTCCCAAGCATAATATGCTACTGGCATGTTGTGTAAAGTAGTACTGTTGGCACAAAATCATCACCCTGTGATCGGATACTTACAGGATGAGTGCCAGACCACTATTTACTCTGAGAAAACACTTTATTCTAATGCCATTTTTTAGGCAAAACATTAAAAGTAGTTTCAGCTCACACTTGTCGCTCAAACCTCCTTCTTTCCTGCTGATTTTTGCTCGGCTCAGTGACCCTTGGAACCGCCCAGCATGTCCTCTTTGTGCTGCTGAATTATCCATAAATAAAAGGAATGCAGTCAGGAAGCAACTTGGGCTCAAGAATGCAAACTTGATAGAAATCAGGTGATAGTTTGTGAACGACAGAAAAACAACTGTAGACTCACTATGAGGGATTTTTTAAAAACATGTAATCCTCCAATCAAGTGCACTTAAATCTTATCTGTCACTGAAATGATTACATCTAATTAGAGTACAGGAAGCAACATGTTGGTTTTTTTCCCTGGAGGTAAAAAGACTGCATTATCTACTTTATGCATGTCTATTTCTATCTTCCTAATGCATTTCTCTCATTCCAAGGTTTTAATTTAGTTCTAATCCTATTTCAGAACTATGGAGTGGAAACGGATAACCTGAAGAATCTTGTTGTGAGGATGAGAGCTGCCAGCAGCAGTCTACGCATTGCTACGAACGATCGCAGGAAAAGCCCCCCGTCCGAGGGAAGCATGACCCGCAAGCCACCGAATGATTTCCTCACTTCTGTGGTGGAGCTAATTGGTGCTGCAAAGAGCCTTCTGGCTTGGCTTGACAGGTGACCACAGTCCATAACCCCTGGGTATTAGATCAGATATCAGGACGTCTGGCATTAAAACACACCTTTAAATAGCTAAAAATATGGGAAATGCACTTATTTTGCTGCAAAACTAGGTTTCAAATATAATGAAATGTTTGTGTTGGATTTGAGCTTGCATCTTCTCTTACAATCACAACTAGAGATACAAAGAAGTATTTGCTTTTGATAAGAAAAGTAGATTTTCCCTTAATCTGATTTTGACTATCAGTGAATGCTCCAGTTCATGAGCTTTACCAGGTCGTCCTGGTAACACTCTTTATTGTGGCGATTGTTTCCGACAGAAGATTCACTAGAGACAATTTATACTGTTGAGTCATATAAGGACGAGCTCTGAGGCATTTTTTTTTTATTTCAAGTACTGCTTGATTCATTCAGGCTGTTAGCGAGTGAGAGAGCACAGGGCTTCAACAGATAATAAGAAGGCTATGTGAAAAGTGTTTTAGATTCTAACTCGTGTTGTAGGTCTGTAGATCTTTAAGTTAAGGTAAAAAGAAAAATAATCTTTGGAAGATATACATATGGGCTACAAATTTTATGACGGAAATTATATGACTTAAACATCTATTTTCCAATTTCTAACTTAAGTTTCATGATAAAAAGATAACATAGATATTTTATTTTTGTCGTCCCCTCTGACTGGTGACCATAATATAAAGAGCAACAAATTTCATATAAAACAATGTTTACTGTCCGAGGAGTGTGTCGGTGGGAGGAAAAAAAGATTTTCCAAAAATGAAATCTTAATTAAATAAAAAATTTAGGTTAATCCAATAAATTGATTAGTTGCCCTGAGTTCATTTAAACCATATGTTAACCTGGTTTATTTCTCATAAACTGTTTAAAAGTCAGTCTTTAATAACTCTGCTTTTGCAGCCACTGCTGTTTTACAGTTCCGACCACTGCTGCTGCTATAAATACTTAAAGTCTGCTTAAATAAAAAGGCTCACATCATTTTTCAGTGTTTTTAATGCTGTTTTTCAGTTTTAGATTTAGAAAGGTCCACCGTCCAGCTTCGTAAGGTCATGGCTTTACCTAAGTCTGGATCTGGGCACTACATTTTGTGATGTACAGAGCTGCAGTTCACTGTGTATGCAGATGACTGCTTCCTCTCCAATTAACGTCCTCCAAAGCAGTTCATGTTTTAAAAGTACAGCTAATTAAGTGCAAATTATTGCGATGTGAAAAAAGATAAATGAATAGGTGCTATAGATTGTTTTTTTTTTTGTGTATGTGTGTGTTAATCTGAAAATAGATTTATTTTTAAATAATTTTTATTGTTGTTTTGGTACCTCTTGGTACCAAAAATGATCCGTTACAACACTGTTGGCTTTTTATATATATGTCCCAAACTTGTTTTTTTCCTTCAATAGATACAAGAAAGTTTTATTTTATTGTTTGCTTTTTTAACAACAGTGGTGTGTAGCATTCCTCTGCTTAAACTAATTATTCTCCAGAAACAACATCAAGTCAAATGTAAGCATCACAGATACTAGAAAAAAAATGGCTTCCTGTAGCATCCAATGAGCCCTAACTCCATACGTCCTTTCACATGCACTCAGACACCTCAGATAATGAGATGGGATTTTCTGAACAGCTGCCATACAGCTGGAACACTTTATAGTTTAAATATCAAAACAACTCTAAAGTCAATCCAGTATATTTTATTTTTAAATATAGGCTAAATCTTTTTAAAACATGTCTAAATATCCAACTGATTTTCTTGTTTGTTTCTGGGACATTTGCTTTTCAATCGATCACTCATGTTTCTTTTTCCCCCCTCTTATTATAGGACACCTCTCACCGGGATCAGCGACTTCACTGCTACCAAGAACAAGATCATCCAGCTGTGCCTGGAGTTAACCACCACAGTTCAGCAGGTCTGCATGCTAAGAAACACATATGTAACCAGGACCATGAAAACCAGCACATAATAGCTTTTTTCCACTGAGCACACTTTAATCCACAGGCACAGACATGCTCAATAAAAGAGTGTTGGGGGGAAATAAAGTCTGGCAGCCATGACACACGCCTGAAGCCAGCAGTCTGAGTGCATTATTACAGGAGCCAATGTTTTTCTAAGGACCTTTTTCCTCCTCATCCTGGCTAATGAGGTGACCCACCTCCCAGTAAGGGGTTGTTTATGTGTTGTTTTTCTTTTTTGCTTTGTCTTTTCAGTTTCATAAAACTTCATTTGGGTTCTTTTAAAGGAGGCTGCCAATCTTCCTCAGGCTACTCCTCTTTCAGCCATGTGTTCTTCTGCAGCTTCCAACCCTCTTATTTAAGCTCAATCTTAGGGGCAGCCTTCTCCTTTATACTAGACAGCATCTAGCAGCTGTTTGCCTTATTATATTGCACAGATTTCTTTAGATTGCATGTATAGCCACCATTTTATCCTTTAAGTGTTTGCATTGGGTGGTTTATACTCCTTGTGAACATGACTGCTAAGACTCCAGGTGTCATTTTAGAGGGTTTCTGCTTTAAAATAAATTCCTTTCCCAGAGTACCCATTTCTTCGCCAGAGTCTGAGATTTCAGCACCTCTGCTGATTTATTGTGGTGAACCCGGTCATGGTTATCGAGGAGAAGTGGGGGTATACGTTTCCCACACTGGTGCTGATAGTCTCAGAGGCTTTTAGCGATTCATTTTCTCTCATGGCATGATCAGAGAAGCAGTTTAGTCAATAAATGCGGCATATAGCAAGACACTAATTTCATTTTTTTAATGTAAACTGTCATGGCTACTTTCGACTTTCTAAGTGAAATTAGATCCATTGGTTGCATCAAATTTGATACATAAGGCATTTCTCTATAATCTTTTAAACGTTTTCTGTTCCCTACATGCTTCTTATTGTGTAAGCCAGGGTTTTCAAGAGTAAAAATATAACACTAATTATGTAGAGGTCTCAAAAACTCATGTATCAAATATGATACAACTGGCTTTAAAGGGTTAAATTTGAGCTTTTTAGATCAAGCAATGTATGTGCTGCTGTGCTTGAGTGTCCCTGAAATGTGGACACAGCGATGCAGGGAGACATCTTTATCTGACAGAGGGGATGTCGTTGGTTTTCAAAGAGGAGACTTTTTTATATTTCCTGCTTTTAACTACAATGCAGCTTTTAGTGATATTTATACATTTTTGTTTCAAAATAATTAAGTTACAATGTGTAAAAGGAGATAATAATTATAAATCAACAGAGAGCAAAGCTACAAAACCACAAATTATGTTTGGCATGCAGTTTCAAAGCATAACCCCGGCCACCCAGGACACATATATCACCACCACTTATCTCACATGCTTGTACCAGATGAATAATAGAAAGTCAGGTTGGAAATATCTGGATTGTGTGTTATTCACTGCCTCTCACTAACTTTATTGCTCTCCCATTCTGCTAGCGGATCAAAGCTGCACACAGGGTCACCTGATCCACGCTGGTTATGGGAGTAGGACCGTAATCTGAGGGATCAGTGCACCCTGGGAATCGTTCCTCTGCGTCTCACAGTGCTTAGTTACGAGCCTGCCCCCTTCCATTTGGTTTTATTTTTGTGATAAGGCAATGGTTCAGTAAATGTTTGATGGCAGACAGACCAGCTTATATCTGCAGCCTATAATTAAAATGTTTTTGTTTCAAGATCTCTTGAAACGTGTGTTCTTGTCCATTCCTTTTGGCTGAGTAGGACGTGTTTTCGTCCAAACATGGGCCTCATTCTTTAAAGAAATATGCAGCTGCTTGTTTATGCAACCGTGGCTGGATTCTTTCTGAAACCACCATATATTGTAGGCAGACATTAGATGATTTTAGTACCAAAGCATGTCTGATAAAAAATGGGCTGTGACGGTTATTTTCTTCCATGTGTTAACACTAACATTAAATTTCCCTTTAAATAAGGAAAATATAGAAACATTCTAATTACAAACTTATTATCTCTTTTAAATAATTTAACTATAAGAAAAGTTCTACCACATACGGTCAAGCGGTTCATGTCAGTGCAAACAAAGCAGAGTGCCTTTTCAAACAGATGCTGCCCTGTGGAATGTGCAAAGCTATGGAAATACAGAGAAATGTTCTGGATCCCCCATCGTTGTCTACACAATGTAGACAATGTCTTTTGTCCTTGGTACATGCCCGCATACCTCATGATAACCCCTTGTTTAGTTGACAGTAGTTTGTGGCTTTTAATGAGTTTGTAGAAATAAGAGATTTGTTAAAGTAAAACTATTTTTTCTATGTCTTTTTATCTGAATCTGACAAAAATGTGCCCAGTAATGTGAACAAAGACTGCCACTGTGGTGTTAGTTAAAAGGGATAAGGATATATGCATCGTATAGCTGGATTGGATACTGACTAATCAACTGGATCCAATATCTTTGATTTGACACCAGATATGTGAGATCCAACCCAGGATACTTTACATGGAACTGTTATTTCTTTTTTATTATTATTATTTCTTAATACATAATATAAAGTACATTTATATTCATGTTAATTTGTTACCTTGTTTAATAATGATTATGTCAAGGCTAAAGCCTGCACTCAATTGCCAAGATATATGGTTCTTGCATTTAAAAGCTTGATCGGTATCGGATATTGGCAAATACGCTCAGCCCAGGTATCGATAGTGGATTAGATCACTGCATCTATAGTAAAAATAGAAAGAAAATCCTGCACAAGTAATATAATGCAGCCTCAAGAGGATATAATACATGTATATGATATAAAATTAGTTTTCAAAAGGAATTACAGAAACTTTGATATCTAAGCAATAGATACAACATCTTTATCTCCTGCTTAAACAAGTTAAACAACATTGCCTCTACATGTCAGCAGAAAACCAAAATGGTGTCCATACTTTTGGAATGACCATATCTCAGACTACAGTCAAACATTTTCCTCTTGCTGTTGTTTTAATGTTGTCAGCATATCAGTTTGAAAATCTGACTCCAGAGCTCTAAAATCAACCATGGAGATTCGTCTGCAATAATTATGGCATCCACTAAATGTAGGCAAAGGGGCAATTTTATGTTGCAAGCTGTTTATTTGTGGGTCTTCTCCATTTATCTTACTTCTATATATGGGGTTCTGATTATATCGTAATTATTTGAAGCATATACTTTTTCTCTGTCTTTCTCTTTCCAGTCACCGGATTTCATGTCTCTTTTTCTGCTGTTTACTTCTCGTAAGTTTAATCTGTTGTCTGTTTCTTCTGCAACAGGACTGCAGCATTTATGAGATGGAAGAAAAGATCCTGGAAGTTGTAAGTATCTTTTATCTCCTCCTTAAGATAAAAAAGAAAAATGAGAACCTCAGTTCCAATATGCAAGGTTCTAATGCAGAAAAGGCCTCCATGTTTCTTTCACCATAGAGATTGTGTGACAACCTTTCAGCAGCTGGGTCATTTACTGAATGCAAAGAGCAGACAGGTCTGTAGGATTGCTAGGAGAGGGGGCGGCTCTAATATACCGCAACCATCAATCAGTGTTTCCTGTTGCTGAAACTCTGCAGACTCTTTGGACTTAATGCAGGCTTCAATTGTTGCCTTTCAATTTCCTCAAATTTTATTATGTTCCCCTTTTCTTTCCACCCCCTTTCTTATCCACTTCTGTTTTCCCATTTTTCCTTATTCTTCATCCTCTTTTTTTTTTCATTTTACACTTTTTTCCAAAGCTGTTTTCTTTCTTTCTTTGTCGCTGTCAAGAGGTCAAATTCAAAGAAAAGGGGTGTGCAAAATTTGAATGTGGCATTCTAATAAATATGCCTATAAATATAATAGAATATCAAATCAAATTTATTTGTATAGCCCTTTACAATGGCCAAATGGTACCCAAAGTGCTTTAAAACAAAGCCATAAAACATTACATAACACATATAAAACATACAAGATACAATTAAAAGTGCTGTAGTGGTGCAGTGCTGCAGGACATTGAAAGCCTTCCAGAGGTGCATAGAAAGGAGCACACAGAAAGATGACATCTAAGAGACAGTATTATCCTAGTCAAAATTAAAAGCTAATTTAAAAAAGTGGGTTTTAAGCTTTTTTTTTTAAAAAGGCTGAGGTCAGTAATGGTGCGGATGTCAGGGGGTAGTTTGTTCCACAGTCTGGGAGCAGCGACGGCAAAAGAACGATCGACCCATTGTTTGAGTCTTGACCCAGGGACCTCTAACAGAAGCTGACCGAAGGAGCGTAAAGCTCTGCCACAATTGCGAAAAGTTAAAATCTCAGACAAGTAAGAGGGAGCCAAGCCATGGATGGAGTTAAAAATAAACAGCAGAAGTTTAAAATCAATTCTAAAACGGACTGGAAGCCAGTGGAGTGACGACAGCACAGGAGTAATGTGTTCACGTCTGGACGTTATATACGGTAGATAAAAAAAAGGTTTAATTCTGTCATTACATTCAATTCGATTTTAGTAATTATGCTTACAACTAAGGAAATGAATAACGCATAGGACATAGTCAAGTAAACAGTCTTCCTAGGGATTGTTTCGACCATTAAGTAGCATTTTCAATACAAAATCTTTCTTTTATAAAGTGCACAAGTTATTTTGAACAAAATAAGTTTAGGGGTTTCTTTCGATTTTTGTCTCAATCATTAAAATAAAATTGTAGAAATGTATCTCTCTATGTGCAATATATAGATATACTGCATGGAGTAAATAGATAGAGCATTAGTATTCATTTTTAAAATGTATTTACTTGAATAGTTTACAATTTCAATGATAATCTACTTTATTGAGATGCTCGCTCTAGTTCAACTACATTAGCTCCAAATGCTACCAACTGTTATAATATCATATGTAAGAATTTAACTAAAGTCTTGGGCTTCAATGTATCTATTGACTCCTTTGGTTGTTCCTTTTCCTGTGCAGTCCAAGACTTTGAACGACATCTGCGATCAGACCGTGAGAACCACATCAGACCCCCTCATGAGCCAGTCTGCCTGTCTGGAGGAAGTCCAGCTGACCAACATCAAACCAGGAGAGGGGCTGGTGAGGAATTCATATTCTCTGAATTTCCTCCCCAGGAATGTATGAAATGCATGTCAGATTGTAGCCTTCCTCCTTCTCCGTCATCGATTTGTTTTCCTCCGGGAATATTGTGTTTAAACCACGACCACAATTAAAGTTTTTGGTGTTTGTTTTTCAACCAAGGGAATGTACATTAAGTCGACGTACGACGGTCTGCATGTCATCACTGGAACCACAGAACATGTAAGTATAACAGTAAACTTCAGTAATGAAATTAGCTTCTCTCTTGGTTTTATTTCAGTCTTTTTCTTTTCCTCAACCTTCTCTGCTGTGGAGCAGTTAAAGGATTAAAATGTGGAGGAGATAAAGATCGTGTGAAGGGAATTGTTTGTGTCTTGATTGAAAAGATCGTGTCTCTAACAACCTTTGCAAGAAAGCCTACCTTTTTTTTTTTTTTTAACCCACACTGTAACAACAAACCAGTGACTAATGCATGATGAGAATCACATTCGCAGTGAGATCTTAACACCTACAATCTCTAAATCTGAATCAGAACTTGAGTCATAACAGATGATGACAAGTTAGTCCCTTCTGGCCTTGAAGTGACGTGAGAAACAATAACCTCTTATCCCTAGAAAAAAGACAGTTTACTGTGAATGTTTTTTTTTTTTTTTATAGTTTGTTCGATTAATTCCTGCTTATATTTGCTTTTTAGTCTCCTGCTGACCTTTCAAGGAAGATCCATGCAGGTGATGAAGTGATTCAAGTCAACCAGCAAACAGTGGTGAGCTTCATTTCTGTGGTTCCAAACTGAGTCCAAAGTGTAATAATAGTAATTATTATAATTTAGGATGTAAATAACAAATGTTTTTTTCATCTTATTATATCTAAGTTGGTGTTACTGTTTTAGTCATTTGGCGGTTAAAGATCACATGTGGTGTTCCCCAAGGCTCCATTCTTGGCCTACCTTCTTTTTAGATATTCAGATTATGGATTCTTGCCACATTTCTTACAATAATTAGGCTGATGTAACAAAGATTAATATTTTAGGGAAACCACATGACCTCGGCCTCTTGAGGCTGATTTGTGCTCAGAAACCATGTTTTCTGCGTATGTGTCGGTGAACCCAAATGTGCCTTCGCCCCTTCTGCAGACACTCTGCTGCACCTCTCCAAAATTATATGTGACCGCAGACTGTAGGCCTCTGATTGGTCAAATCTACATCCACTCCACACCATGCTCTACGAGGTGCGCAGGAATGCTGAGACCCTTTTTCCACCTGGATCCCCCCCTCTTTTTCGCCCTCATGTCCCTCCGTTGTCGCACAAACTTGCCCCCGCTTCCTCACTGTACCTCTTTCCTTGTGGCTTGGATAACTACACATAGCGCAGACCACGTTTCAATATTGGGCATAAATCAAAAATATCTGTGACAGGCTCACTGTCACACACTGCTGGATAACCAGCTCTTTATGGTTGCAGAGTAAGCATCAGTCAGTCTTCGGAAAGGTCTGGATTTCTTAGTTTTGTCCCAAATTTGCAGTGTTGAAGAGTCACACTTAATTACCCTCAATTAGGTAAATGGCCTGTACTTATAAAGCACGTTTTCAAGTCAGGAGACTTGACCTAAGCACTTTACACTACATTCAGTCACTACCCATTCACACACATACTCACACACTGATGATGACAAACTACATTGTAGCCACAGCTGTCCTGGGGCTCACTGACATATACCGGTTCCACCGGGCCTTCTGACCACCATCACCGACATCCCTCCCATTGCAGGGCAGCCTCCTGCACCCGACGCCACTGTCGCGCCGGAAATACAGCAAACCGAGGTGTTGCAATGGGCTTAGATGTACATATTATATTCCTATAAAGTTTATTGCTGAATTCCCATTACTGTTTACAGCAGATTAGCTGTCATCATATCACATCTTTGGTCATTTTTTTATTTTTGGTCATAGGTAACATCAATATTTTTTTCTCATTGTATTTCTTGGCTTGATTGGAACCTTTGTTCCTTTATTTTTCAGTAAAGAACCTTGAATTACTTTGCGCATAGATGATGCAATACTGAACTAAGTTGCTTTGCACTGTTGACCAGGTTGGCTGGCTGCTGAAAAACCTTGTTTTCAAACTGAGAGAGGACCCCAAAGGTGTTGTTTTACTACTGAAGAAGAGGCCAACGGGCACTTCGAGTTTTACCCCCGCCCCGCTTAAGAACATGCGCTGGAAGCCCCCTGTACCTCAGGTGAATACTCACACATGCATTTCATTCTACATGGCTGGCTAATAAGCATCGACTAATTGTTAGCTCTTTCGGGAGCTGGTTCCAAAATCAGCATGTTCAGACAAGAGTCACCCTGAGAGCCCTGCTGGCTGAACTGAATACCCCATTGAGCTTTATCTTTAGGTGCAACAAAGGAGGAAAAGAAACTCCCATGATGTCATTCGGTCTGGGAGATAAAGCCATAGGATTTGAGTCTGATTCACATTTTTTTTTTTTTTTTTTCAGTGAACAAAAATCACCCCGATATTAAAATTTTGGGTTAGATGGAATTTATGGAGGAAATTTGGTGAAGAAGCACCCCTCATGCACCTTTCTGTTCTTTTTTTGTAAGATTTGTTTCATATAGTGAATATAATTTAAAATACATCCTGAGTAAATATATAATACTGTTTTCTAATGATTTTATTCCTAAAAAAAAGGAATCTGAACCAGCTTGCTTCTACATGACAGAGTAATTGCTTCCTAGATCCTAATAAACGATTGACCCCCCTGTTAACAATGGCTTTTTTTGTAATAAGTAGTAGTGAGTCTTTAAAACTGCTGTGGAGGAGAAGTGTTTTGAACATTAACTGCCTGATTGAGGTTTTACCTCAAAGCAAAGTCCAGAATTTGACACTTCAGAACATAACTGCTGCATTTTGGATCATCTTTAGACACTCAATTGCTGTTGAACTTGAGGTCAGGAACTGATGGCCGGACATTCTCTGTGACCATTTCCTCCTAGAGAAAAGAATGAGTGTTTGCATCAGTTGTGGCAGGTTGCCTTGAAAAAGAAAGCAATGCACTCAAAGACAAAAGCCCCACCAATATGAGGGAAGCCTTATTGGTCAGTGGTTTTTACCTCCATGTTTTCATAGATTCTGTTTCGGGTTAGATTCTGCTGAGGTTTTCTGAGACCTGATGTGCTTTACATGCATTCTTATTGTGGCTGATTTATACACGTGAGATCCTGAGGTAATTTTAGCAGACTGACACCTCTAAGGGACATTCACCATTGTTCCATTTTTTTCCATTTATGGATAATGGCTCCTGCTGTGTTTAACTAAAGTCCCCAAATCATAGAAATGGGTTTTAAACCTTACCCTAACTGGTTGATGCTGATGACTTTCCTATTTGTTCTAGTTAAACGTGGCTTTAAGATCCTGCATGTTGTCAATAAGGCTTAGTTAAAGTGATTTCTTGGTCCAATTGTTTCTGGGAGGAGGAGAACTCACCTTTCCAAAAAAATGTTTTATTCACCTTTAATTCTTTATTTACTAATTAGAGGATACACTTTTTTCCCCATCAGTCAGGTTTGTTTTTTTTAGCTTTCCCTTCATGACTTAAATAATAATGTTAAACGTGTTGCAGTATTCTAAAACATTTATACGGTGATTAATTGATTACTGAAAAAATTGTCAACTAATTTAGTAATCGATTAATCATTAAAAAGAGTATAGAGACTGTGAAATATGGCTTTAACAGACAGAGCGACCAACTTAGAGCAGCATTTATTCCAACTTTTAAAAAAAATATATACAGTATATAAACATTTTGCATTTAAGATAAAAACAATCTTTCCTGTCTGTCAATATGCTCTATCCAGAATTCCTCAAGTGGAAAACATTGAGTTTCACCTGGTTTAATTTCACAAAAAGTCTTCTTTGACCCCTAGAACCCTACAGACCCACTGGTGGGTCCAGCTGCTACGTGACCTCGTAATTTTAACAAACCCCCAGTATTGATGTAAAAAACACATTTGGCACAGTTTGGTGACATTTTCGGATAAATGTGCCAAAATGGCCCCTCCGCCTAAGAAATTTCTCACTAACACCATTCTAAAATAAATATGATTCATCTGATTGAGTCCAAATTTTGTATATTTTTACACAACATTTAGATTTAAAAATCTGTACTACTTTTTTGCGCTATAAATAATATTTTGGTAGTGTTTTGCAATGTTTATTTCAAAGAAAATTTTGGCAAGGTTCAAAAAATGCAAAATATTTTGTATTTTGTCCCTAATATTTCAGGCAGGGTCAAAGTTACAATGGTGCTGACACCAGAAAACCATTCATGACATCTTACCTTTATAAAGGTACCAAAAGTTTCTCCTTAAATCTAATAGCTGTGAGGCTATAAGTGATTTACTTTTGTGTGTTTTTGTCAGGCAGAAATTTATTTATACTCCCTGAGGGTGTAGGAGGTTAAGGAACCTTTTGCTTTTTGATTATTAATCGATTAATTAGGAAATATAATCCACAGACTAATGGATTTGCAAAAAAAAAAAAAAAGTTGCAGCCCTAGTCTCATTATTTTGTTGTAATCTGACACATTTAAGAGTGGAAACAAAATCACACAAAGAACAAAAAGAATCACAATATGTATGCGAGAAAAAAGACCTTTCTTCTCCACCTTGTGAAAACCACCAGCCTCGGCTTACAGTGATGCTATCTTTGTGTCTGAATCCTGTTTTAACAGACAGAGAGGCCTCCTGTAATCCTAAACTTCCAGTTTTCCCACTGTGGAGCTGTGTCTTCATGCATAGCCTGTTTTATAACCTGAGAGACCAAGACGAGATGAGAGTAGATTTGGTATCTTGAAACAGCAGAGAGGGATTCAGGAAACAATGGGGGCCATAAACACCGGCATCTTGTTTTAACAAGTTCTGCAGGAAATCGGTGTTGGACATCTCTGCTTATCTGCTTATAGTAGGACTTCAAACCCAAACAGACGAGTCTTTCTGCTTGATTCAACAAGGACTTAGTGAACTTTACTATATACTTTGTTAGAGTCTAACACAAACCCTCAATGAGAATCTCTATTAATGTTCTTTTATTATTGTAACAATTACTGAGTAACATGAACAGCTTTTCCAATTACAGCCTGAGAACTACAGAAAATAAAAGCCAAATATTTAGTTGTTGAGCGTCGAGAAACATAACTGTGGTAAATGATTGAAGGTCTTACAGACATTTTTAGACTTCATTTACAATCTTTCCATACCTCAAGCAAGAAAATTTATACTTGGAGACACACATAAGCACTTAAATGTCTCACCACATATGTAGAGCCCCTCCCCTTTCGCCACAAAGTTATATTTAGGCGTTATTTAAAAATGGAAGAGACTTGTGAAAAAAAAACCTTAAAGCAAACTCTTTGTCTTTGATTGGGATTTTTTAGGATTACACTGTGTTATTATTGTGTAATTACCTTTTCATTATTTGTTTTTCAGAATAATTCCTCCCTGATCAGATCCCAGTCCCCCTCCAGTTCGGCTAATGGATCCACTAAAAAGGAGAAGCCAGCCATTACGGACTTGTACATTCCTCCACCGCCTCAGATGCCGTACACTCCACGGTGAGCATCTGAGCAGATCTACTAACTTCTGTTTATTCTATTTAATAAGCGGAGCTCGGAAAATTCTGAGAATTAATGTCAGTGTTTCCCGGGTCTTGATTAGTATAAAAAAAGAAAATAAAAAAACAGAAAATATGTTTTTTTAAGACTGTATTACTTGATTTCTTCCTCAGGTCCTTCCTTTCTCCTTTTTACCTTTTCTTGTGTCAAACCTCAGTTCTTCCTTCCTCCTGTCTCTGTTTTCTTGTCTCCATCCTGCCTTCTTCCCTTGTCATCCCTTTCTTCCTTACGCCGAGCATACACTGATGGATTTTTATCAATTGTTGCACGCAGCTAAAGTTCACGCTGTATGACGAAACCGCAGGGTGTAAAATTTCACAGCTCACAATGCATGTTCTCACACTGTGGGGCCCCAAGGCTCTGATGCGATCTACCTGCTCACACTGTACGTCTAAAAACCATATCGGACTCAGCTCCGCAGTGAGATGGTGCTACTCAGACTCATCTATCTGGAAGCTAAATGAGTAGAAGAGGAATATGAAGCTCACTAGAGTGAAATGCGCTGCCTTGGCAATTTGTGCAATTTTGCAATTTTTCAAAGCCCAAAACAGAAAAGGCGACGACATATTTGGATAAAGACATGGCTGAGCAAATGTGGCTACTATGGTCTGTCAATTTTACAGAAAGAACTCCATTTCACTCGCACCCCAGCCATGATTTTGAGTTTACATCTGAGAGGAAGAACAAGAAGAAGAATCCTTGTTTGCGCAGTGAGTGATTTGCCCGCGACAGCCGACTGAAAATCAACATGACCTCATGAATTCCTGATGGGGAGGTGGCCGTTAGAGGCTGATGGACCCTCGTTACCCCCTGTACGCTACACGACGAACAACGCACACGATCAGGCTGAAAGTCGGCCTGATCTAAAAATTCTTGCGCAACTGGAAAGTCAGCCAAAAAGAGCAAAAAAAATTACACAGTGTGAGCCCGGCTTTATTTGGTTACATCTTGACCCTATTTCCTTCCTTGTCATTACCTTGATTCCTTCTTTCTGTCCTTACTAGTGTCCTACCTCACTTCTTTTCCTTTATCCTTCCATGTTACATTCCTTCCATAATACCCAGTTTCTGTCATCTTCGTGGTGACTTTAAAGGGGTCATATAATGATTCTATAGGGTATTTGGTGCTGGTCTTTAAGGTCTCAGAATAGGGTGGTTAACATTGGTTGGGCTGAAAATGGCATATTCGCTGTTCTATGAGCTCTAATGCAAGCTTGGTTAAAAGCCCTAGAATGAAACAACGTTTCCTTCCTTTTATGGTATTCTCAAGACAACATCCCCGAGTTTACGTCAACTCTGGGATACATTTAGATTCTCCCGTTTTATGGTGGAAGTTTAGAATTGTGAGTGAATGAATTACAATGTAAACTCGGTTTTGCATTCTATGACCCCTTAAGCATTTTAGCATCCGCTCATTATTTCAACCTGCTGGGTTTCCTATTGAAAACATTTAACCTACCTGTCTCTGTGATTTGATTTAATCAAATCTTTAAAGTGTCTGGAGATGACGTGTTGGGAATTAGTTTTATGTTCTGGAATGAGACTGAAAATTGGATGGTTGATTCTAGAATTTTTACATAAAATATTCACTTTGCATCAGAGATCGCTGAAAAATAAGGCATCTTGAATTATTATTTTTTTTCTGAATCAGGGATTTTTGCAGCTAAAGCATAAATAGTAGACCACAGTCAAGTTTTCACCTCACCTCTTCTTTATCACAACATATTCTCCTCTTTTCATCTGCAGCCCACTCTCCATCCCACACTAGCCTTTACATCATGACTATTTCATCACATATCTTTGATAAAATACCTCATGGTGTTCAACCCTCATTAAAGACAAAGGGACATTTTTTTACATACACTTTTATCTGTATTTCACTTGCTAAAGATCTGTTCATGTCCCGTTGTTTCCAGATCTTTCTAATCATGTTTAGCATCTTTTTCTGTACTCTGAAGCCAGAGATGTGGGTTGAGCTGTGATTAATAAGCAAACATTTGTCCCTGCCTGCAGAGAGTTGAGGACAGACTCCCTCTCCAGCGTTTGTAAAAGACCAAAGGGCTCTGAGTCACCCAACTCCTTCTTGGACCAGGAGAGCAGAAAACGCAACACCATCCAAGATTATGACAAGTTGAGCCCTGGCTGTCCAATCGAAGCCAACGTGATCCAGCCCAGGATGAGGGAGCATAAAGCTTCACGCGGTAAGGATCTTTTAAAACATCCCTCTTACATTTGCTGAGTCAGAATTCTTTGAAAGTGGAGCTTTTTTTTTTTTTTTTAATCTGACATTCTTTTCTCAAGGTAAGCCCCGGCCGCTGTCGATGCCCGCAGACACATGTGTAGCGGTAATGGACACGTACGCCAAGCCCTGGGCACATGGCAGAAAAGGTAAGCACAGATTCGTCATCGACCTGTTTTTCAGTGAAGTCCTGTTTCTCTGACTGGGACTCGTTGGATGTGCTTTCTTCATCCTCTGACATGGGAGTTGGCTCAGAGCTCATCTGCCTGGCTGTGTGTTTTCTGGATGGGGCCGCCTTTTACAGTTGCTTTTTGTATCTCTGCTTCTGTCTCCTTGAACCCCAGTCTGCCTCGGCAGATGGCCGCTCACGCTGAGCCTGGTTCTGCTGGAGGTTTCTTCCTGTTAAAAGGGAGTTTTTCCTCTCCGCTGTCGCTACAAGCATGCTAGAACCCTGAATTGAATTATTTTTGGTTAAAATGATACCTGGCAGTGAACTGATGTCTTCTTCCCTTAGGTGAGGATCTGCTGTACAGATACCTCAGTAACGAGCGGATTCCCACCATTGCCGAAGAGGTCCCATCGGCGTCCTCCGCCTACAGGCCAGCGAGGGAACGTCAGCTGGTCCGAGTGGACCGCATCCGACACAGCTGCTACTATTCGAACTCAGACCTCCACAACAGCGCCACCATCCCCTACCAGGAGGACATGAAAAAGGCCTCAGTTAGCCCCAACTCAAAGCGCACACCGGCAGAGCGCTCACTACTGGTCAGTTGGATCACGCGGCTTAAGCTGTTGACTCACTGATGATGTGCTTCCTGTGCCGGGGCTTCCTATCCCTGTCCTGTGTTCTTCCTCAGTGCCTTCAGTGTTTTATCATCAAGCAGTTTCGGGCTCTCTCGCTCTCCTTTCTGACCCCACACCTCCATATTCTCATGGTTTAATGGCTACTACCAACTACTACTACTACTTCTCCGCAAACAACCATGCTTTTGTAGTTCTCACTACATTAGGTCATTGCCTCTTTAACCCCACCCTAAATCCTGATGTCAGACTAGAAAACTCCTGTTAACTCAGGTTTAAAAAAAATCTTGGCCTTGTTCTCTTTACAGACTTCTGTGTACATATTTAAGTTATGTCATTTTTTCCGTTAAGATGTTTTCTGGTATAAATATTTAACCACTGAAGTTAGTCTTTAGTTATGTGATTCTTTTGGTTTTGATTTTTGAATATAGAAAAATTGTTCACAAAACTGCTTTTGAATTGATGACATTACTTTCAAAAATAATAATGTTTAGTCTTGTGAGGAGATTTTTATTTTATTTCTACCTACTGATTTCTTCTGCCTTTGGTTTTTTTGCGATTTCAGTATTTGGGAGCATAAAATAAATCCTAATATCAGACAAGAAAAATCATTATTATTTTGTTAAAAATACCTAAATTAAGTTTTTCCCTCCCCAAAAAAAGTAAGCGCACTATAATACATTTTGTTAAAGGTTAATCATGTACTTCCTCAGAAAAATCATTTCTGTTTTATCACTCGATCTGCGCCGGAAATGAGATCCTGCACTATTTCCGTGAGCTAACTTGTTTGGCTTTGGATTTAAACATAAACCTAATCTTTTTGAGTTTTATGTTTTCCATTCCTGATAACATTGTGGAATATAGTGCGTGATCTAAAGAAAGAAAAACTAAAATGCAGATAAACATGTGACTGCTCTGAGAATGTCCCATGATGATGTCAGACAAGCAATTTAACAGAAAAAATATAAAAAGCATCAAAATTGTCTCACAAAAGTCATGAAACATTTTTTTAAAGATGTGTATTCACATTTTTTAGAGAGTTATGGATAGATATAATAACTATTATTTATGGACAACCTGATGTATATTTGTTCGTGCATGCGCAGGACGGATCATGCTTCCAGGACGGATCGGGTAGTGACAATGCTAGCTTGTTAGCTATATGGACCAGGAACCTTTTCTGACCATTGTAGAATATGCATTTTAATATGAAACCCCATTTCTTCTAGTACAACCCTCCCTCCTCCTCTTGCCTGCCAAACTGCAACCTGATAGTAATATAATGTTATAAAAAAAAAAAAAAATGTAATTCTTTTAAAATCCTCGACAACAAAAATTTTGAATTTATTCATTAGTCCCAGAGTAGTCACAGAGTAGAAAATTAGGATTTGAAGGGGAGTTTTTGGATTTTGCTTAGATCAGGCAGACAGCTTCTATTCAAATTATGTCTAAAAAAAAGATGCCTAATTTACGTTTTAGTATGGGGGTAAATATTTTTCGCAATGGGCCAGGCTAATTTAGATGGTTATTTCTTGTCATTAGTCTAATCATCATGTGAAAATGGCTTTTTGCATTTACTGAAGCTTTATTTGTCAATTGGATCTCAAGTATTTGAGAATGACGAAGAAACAAAAAAGGAAGAAATCAGTATGGTATTCGAAGCGTTTTCACATCACTGTACTTTACAGTCTGCCACATTGCCTCTTGTAAGCTATGCATAAAAGCTCTGCAGTCAACCAAGCTCACCGTACTGCACTGGTTTTTGATGTTTACATATATATTAATAAGCAAATATTTGTGCATATTTAAAACTATGCACATGGATTTTTAGTTTAGGCTACAGTTTAAAACATGGGTCTGAGTACCGTCTGATGGATTGCTCTGGACAAGAAGAAAAGGAATGTCAGTATTATTTAAAGACTCAAAATAACAGGAGGTGTCTGTTACTTTTTCTGCGTTTTTGTAAGATTTAAAGGCATTTTATTAAAAATGGCAGTTCATTTCAGTGACTTTTTGTGTTGTCATTATTTTGTCATCTTGTTCCTATATATCAACAATAAAGGACTTTCCTATAACATTGTTTTCATCTGGAAACTGTATTATTAACCTGCTATCAGTTTACGCACCTAAAGGGGGGTGTGTGTGAAGGGAAGGGCCGTTGTTTGGAGCCGTCTGTCTTTTTGACCTGTTTTAACCTTTGAGGCAAACACCGGGTCTGCTTTTAAAGCACGCGGTGACACAGAATAGCTGATGTTGAGTTACCTTTTTTTTTTCCTCTGTCTCAGATGGTGATGGTTATGTAACTCTTGCTCCCTCTGAACTTTAAATTCAACATGGGGGATGGACCATATGTTCAAAGCAGGTTTTCTGTGGGGAGATCTTCTTTCCTGCACATATGTTGTGTTTTAAACATTGAAAGACCAGGTTAGAGTTACTTTGATTTTATTTATTTAAAAAAGGCTCCCTAAGAAGCAAAGTCCTGAGCATTTCTTTTAACAGAGCTACTTCTCAAATCTTTGGCTGTTTTTCTGCTGTTTTTTCCCCCCATGCTCTGCATGAGTTGAATGAAGCCTCTTTTATCTCTCCTTCCCCACTTCTTTCCATGTCTTGCTCTGCCCATGCTTGCTGAACTATAGTCGCCTGCGGTTCTCACTTAATTCGTACTCTCTGGAAACCTGTGGTCTGCCTAAACACTACCTGCATTCTGTCTAACCCACTGCCAGCGTTCACTAACGACTAACGCTTCATGCCTGCACATCACAGATGGTTACATAGGAATGTTATGCTGAATTACTGCTAGTTTGTGCATGCAAAAAAAGAAAATTTTATATTCACATTTTTGTGTCACTCATTAAAAAAAAGAGCAGGTGTACAATACCAGTCAGAAGGTCTAAACTCACCTAGTCATTCAGGGCTTTTCCTTATTTTTATTGCTTAATCTATTGTAAATATATAGTAAATACATTAAAATGATGAGGTAAAAGTGTATAGAATTGTGCAGTAAAGTTCTTGACATTCTCTCTTTGAGCTTTAAACCTGAAAGGGGAGTATTTTTTTAATCATTCCTGAAGGAGCTCACAGAAGTTGCAATAAAGATAAAGACAAACCATAAAATGGGGAGCTGATTCCAAGCTTTTTAATGCTTGTGTTCATAAGATGAATGTTTTACACCTGATTGCATTTCCCCCTTTATGAATTCCAAAGAAGTTTAGAGATCACGCGAATGAAAACCAAAATGCAGTGATCCACAAAGTTTAAAAACTACTTTTTCCTCTTCAGCACCTTGCAACATGTCTTTAAATTTTCATTTTTGCATTTTTTTTTTTTTATATATTTTTTAAGAATAACAGCATTGTATTTCAAGATGATGCTAATTTTGGAAGATATTTGTCATTTTTGCTTATGAGTTCTCTTTGTCAAAAAACAAGATCTATTTTTTATGAGTTATTTTATTTATTAATTTTCTTTGCTGACACATAACGATATAAACCAAATGGTTGTTTTATCAAATGATTAATCCTGTTTTATTTTATCCTAATAAGTAATCCATTTCCAAAGGGTCCTTGGTCGGACAGGGCTCTCAAACAGCCAGGTCAGGGTCATGACCCCGTGCTGCTGCTTTCTGTAACAGAAGGCTTTAGAAATGGACTCTTGTGTCATATTGATAACTTGTAGGAACAGAGAGGCAGGGAGTGGAATAATTCTTTAATTGCATTCCATACATGGATTGCCGTAATGTTGCACTGTAAAAAAAAATTTAAATTAAGTTAAACATTGTTTCTTAAAATAAGTGCATTTTTTCATTAAATGAAGCAGGTAAGTGAGACTTTGCCAATGGAATAAGAAAATTAACTTTTGAAATAAAAAAACTGCATTGTTTTATGTCAAGTGCATAAAATCTAATTATCTTATTTTAAGAGTAAAAATACTTATTTCATTTGCAGATCATCTGATTTACCTACTTACACTGTAAAAACTATCTAAATTAGTAAAAGTTTCTCAAAATAAGTGTATTTACCTTTAACCAGCGGTTTTGTTAAAGTTAAAACCTTTTAAACGATATTTTTTTCCCCAAGGTAAATCAGTGTGCATAAAACCCTAATGTATAATATTATATCTGGGGTCAGTAAAAGGTTATTTTTTCAAGGCGTTTGATAAGTTATCTGAGGTGTGTCTGTGAGTAAACGTTCTTCAGAAATTAATCATAAAGGATACAACAAATGTCATACCTCCCTTGTTTTTAACCTATAGAACAAAGCTTCCATGTCGCCTTAAGGAAGCTGTAGACACGATATAATCTCTGCATCAAGTTTGTTCCAGAGATTAATTGGATTCTGCTTTATACAAATGTGTCCAAAGCAGATATGATTTAGCAGCTATTCAATTAATTTAAAACAACCTATAAAGTGTTGACCTTGTAAAAGCACAGTGAAGAAACAATTTTCTGTAAATAAGCCTCATAGGGGTGATCTAACTAACCCTACTAGTTCAAAGATTTTTTTTCCTATGTTGTGGGTTTTATATGAAAGTTGTTCCAAGCCTTTTTTGTCTCTTTTATGCTGTGTTTCAATAATACAAGCTTAAAATATATATATTTTACAGTTTATACTGTGACTGCTGGTATCAGCAGAGGGACTAAACGCTCATTATAAAAGAATTTTGATTTGGTTTTATTATTTTGAAACCAGCTTGAGCATTTTTAGCTTCCATGCATTAACATATGGGTCTTTATGCATCACAGGGACATGACTGGTTCTCTAGCAGGGACTTCCTGAACCGGTGAGTTTCTGTCTATCTCTCTCTCACACATACAAACCAAAATCATAAGAACAGGGTGGGTCTAATTTTCCAAGAGGGAGGGACAGTCAGCTGCCAGTGGGATCATTTTGATGCAGGCTAAGGTTCAAAGGTGGTCTGCTTTTATTTTCATGGAAAACCCATAAAGAGTTGCAACTCTCCATCTTTTCAGACCTTTGCAGTCAGATAATGCATTTTTTTCAGGCTTTTGGGGGGTACGCTATCCTTTGATTACTTACATTAAGAACTTCATAACATTTATCCAACATGTGTTCTTTTACCTCCTGTTTTGATGTGTTTTCCTGGTTGTTTTCTGAGATGGACCAACACAAGGAGGCGTGTCTTTGTGAAAGGAAAGCCATTCAGTGTTGCTTGGTCTTCATAATGCTTCGAAGTTGTCCAGCAAATCTCTAAGACCTTTGCGGAGCCACTCAATTCAAATAGAGATGAAGTAACAAGCAAATGGACTCTATTTACTAATTAGGGGACTTCTAACAGGATTCAATTCCACTGGCATTTATTTAAGGGTAGCAGAGTTAGGGGCACTGAATGCAAAATCATCATGCTTCACTTTTATTCACAAAAGCTCATTTATTTCCTTTATAATTACAAGATTTGTGTTGATATTAGCTATGAAAGTCTAATAAAACATATTAAAGTTTTAAATAAATGTAAGTAAATGTTTTATTAAAGTTCACTTTTAGAACCTCCTGATTTTAAAATGTCCTCCACACCAGAATGTTTATCCACACCTGATTCGCTTCTAATTGCCAGAAATCTTTCTAGAGATGCCGACACTATGACGAATCCTGATTCCTCTGGCTTCCAAAGCGCTGGTATAAATACCCTTCTGTTAAATGTGGTGCTGTAGGATGTCATGTTTCCACGTCACCCTTGGATCTCTTCCGGTCTTGGATCCAGATCGTTAAGGAGGTGTGACTCCCCCCATTAACACCGTGGCTTGAAAGATTCGCACAAATCTGTCAATCGCAGGCAGTTCTATTCTAAGAGCCCCGGCACATTGGGGATGTCTCATGCTCGATCAAAACAAATGACACACCTTTAGAAAATATAGCAGTTAATCTCCTTGGAAAGCTGTCTGACTCACTGCTGGTGCCCCGACAAAAACAGGACAGCAGCATGAAACTGGCTTTGACTGATGTAATCAGGTGTCACCTTGATTTTGGCGGTTCACTCAATCCCTATTTTTCATGAATTAAAGTGTTTGCAGACGGGCTCCTCTTGTTCTCATTCATGCATAAAGAAACAAGCCATGTAAGAAAATAGAACAGCATCTTTTAAATGGAAGATGAAAGGAGATGGAGGGTCCGAAAATGTTAGTTGCTGGAACAGGAGTCAGCAAGTCATGCCCTGAAATTGCAGGGTGAGGCCAAGTTGAGGCAAACTGACTTTTCTGTGCAGTGAGAAAAAGCCTTTCCTCTACCCATGATGCAGCAGTTTGCTGATGGGATCTTATCAGAGCCACAAGTACTACAATTACAAGCAACCATTTTAAAGTCTCCATGGATGTTCAATCAGACTAGAACAGATAAGCTAAATGAGTGGTTATGGGTCATCTGAAAACAAGGAACCTATTTTTTTTTTGTGTTTCTCTGTCCAGAAATTGTTATCTTATCTAAAGCATTTCAGGTTTTAGCTTAATTTGCTGTTGTTTCCATGCTGACAATGCTTTATGAGGTGTGTTTAAAACCGACAATGAGTTGTCTATCTCTTGCTCCGACAGATACAATCAACCACACATGAGATCTTGGTCCTTCTCTCAAGCAGTAAGTAAATGATTATGCAACCCTCTGTCTGTCACACTGTCTGAATACCTCAATGATCTCTGCAACCTGACCGATCTCTCTCAGCTCGGTGTCGATAAAAAGGCAGTGAAATCAAGGAGATGGATTTCATTTCATACAGATATAACAATCTACTATCTTTCCCGCTGTATACGCCAGAACTGTGATCAAAGAAGTCTAATTATGCTGCTGTTCACCAAAACATTGTAGAAGATGTGGAAATAATTGAATTTGTCAATGAGCAATAAATGATTTCCTGGTCTGGATAATAATCTAAAATAAAATAAAAAATATATAAATATAAAAAACAAACTTTTAACCCAGTGGCCTATGAGTTACTGCCAATCACTCAATGCAAAACATATCTGCAATCACCAGACGGATTTAACATGATAAAAGTTACTAGTAGAAGGAGACTAATCTATGCTTGTACATATTTACTAGTTGTAGTCTGTTAAAATATCTGGTTGATCTTAAATAATAATGGATTTTTTTTTTCCAGTTAGCTTCTTATTAGAAAAAAGTATGTTTTGCACAAAATAAATAGTTTTTCCTTGTCAACCAGAGCTCGATTTGCAGCCAGGTCAGCTTACAGCCTGTCAGAGAAACAGGAGATATGCAGCCACCAAACTGAGCAAGCTGTCTTGTTATCACTCTCGCTCCCTTCCCCCCCCCTGCGCTCCATGTGAGTTTCACCTGCTGAAGAATGGCTGCCCTATCTGCCCCCTCTCACTCATGCGCGCGGTTTCTGGGTGGTGGGGTGGAGATGGGGGTATCAACTGAGGCCCATCATGGCTTTTAGCAGGAATCAAAGGGAGAGAAGAAGATCTGCAGCGGTGTGACCAATCCTGTCAAGGCGAGAGGCTTTTGACATGAGTCACAGGGAGCATTTATTCTATTGCATTCTGTATGGGATATTGTTGCTGACTAATAATTTCCCATTGTTGGGATTATGAAATTGCATCTTATATTATTAATTCCTTACCACCTTCACATAGATGATCAACGGAAAACTAAGTTAAGTTTACTTAATGGAGATGTGAAAAGTGGGACAGCAAATAGGAAAAAGAGGAGTAGCATCTCTTGATGGCCACTTCAAACCATGTTTTTAAATTCCAAAAACTAGTTGGACAAAGGGGGAAAAAAGGCATGGGGCCCCATGTCTACTTCAGCACAAATGTGAGAGCTTAATAACTCTGTAGTCAGGAATGTGTTTGCCATCTCAGCATAGAAAATGTACTGGATAGGCCAGGATATCCAAGCTTTTGCACAGACCCAATTCAAGCAGCGCTGTTGTGGCTGCAAACCCGACCCCCGCTGAGGCAGTAAGGAGTGATGAAAGGCAGAACACAGCTTCACACTACATGAACAGCACAAATCTAACATAAAGCACATTTTCTTTCCTGACTCCTTATGGACGCTGCTGGGATCTTATGTCATCTTAGCTTAAGGTCATTTAGATGCATCCATCTGGCTCTGTTGTGACCTTCTATGAAACATTTCATTTGAGAAGACTTAGTCACTGTTTCTGCCTGTGATGCACAAGGAAAGTGTCAATATTTTATTTAAAAAGAAAACAACTTAAAAAATGAAAAAGTTGTATCTCTGTTTTTCTTATAAAACTTAACAACAGAATGAAAAAAATGGGAAAACATATATACAATATATATAACAAATTATATCTGAGAAGCTGCATGTTAAAGTAAATGTCATTAAACCGAGCAAACAGCAAAAAACAAATTTTCTTTTCATTTTAAGTAAGTTTGAACCAAATTGTACTTCAGTATAGGTATGGGTAGTATATTATATTTTTGTGTAAAAGTTTGTTCAGCAATAATTTGGGATTTTGGATATTTTTTCTAATCATAATAAGCCCAATTAAAAAAAATAAATAAATAAAAACTACCAAAACAAATAAAGCCTTATTAAAACCTTCTTTTTTACAAAACATAATTTAATCAATCTAAGTGCAATGATACAAAGAACACAATCGGTGTAATATATTTTTTAGTACCTACCTAAGTATTTATCTGTCTACAAATTAAAAAATCGGAATCTTGTTCCATTTACAACTTATTTTGATCCAATTTGGTGTTTTTTAACTGCACTTTCTAAATAGCTGGGACATGACGACACCTAGTGGTTACAATCTGTAACTGCGAGTTCCTTCTCCTGCAGAAAGCCTGGAGAAAACGCGATAAAAGGCCACTTTAATCCCTTCTGTGTCAAACATCAGACAGAATGTGGATCCTCATTTAAAATGCGCAGGGTAACACCCCTAAAGATACCGGATTCCTTTGAAAACAGACGTGCTTTCTGAACGCAAACATGCTCACCAAGGTTTGGTCAAACTTTGAAAGGAGAGTTCGGTTTAAACTACAATCCCTGAGATTATGGTGGAAGGTAGAGTACATTATTTATTTCAGCTGATTTATTACATTTATGTTAAAATTTTGAAGTATCACCTTTATTGTTCTGGATTGAAGCTGATAATTAATTCAAAATACACAGTTTTTTATTTTTACATTATGTTTTCTACTTTAGGAGGATTTTAATTCATTTGGCATAGATTAGAAATTAAAGTCTGGATTTTAGAACTAGGTATGAACTGCATTTTTTTTCTCCCATCTTAAAAAAACCCAAAGGTATCAGGAAGTCAGTTATTAAACTCAGAGCAGTTCAAAGTCACGTTTTAGAGTCGTGGTTTGTGTGGTTATGCTGATGAAATGAGTTCAAGAGCAGCGGAAAAAGAGCTCTAATGTGTTGTGTAAACTAGAAGGAGGAAACTAATCTAAAATAGATAAGGATCACTGAAGTGAATAGTTTGGATCAAATCTGTTGCCACGTTTTTTTTTTTTTCTTTACCAGTGTGCTGCTACTCAGCTGTTTGAGCTGCAAAAGTGCAATCTTTCAAAAAGCAACCCAAATGGGTGGTTATTAGGTTTAAAGCACGTGACAGAACATGGTTAATGACGACCCTAACCCCCACCCACACCTTTATGAGATGTAAGCCACAGAATGGCATTGCTGGCTGCACATGAGGTGCATGAAGGATGGTTGAATGGAGGGGAAATGTGCAATAGAGAAACGTGCTGCAGTAATTACTATAGATAGATATGGAAGAGGATTAGAGCCACTGGAAAAAAAAAAGTTAACTTGATATTTAGATATTTCAGTTTAATGTGTGTGTGTGGGGGGTGGGGGGGGATCAGAATTCTGACTTTTTTCACACAATTCTGACTTTAATCTAAGAATTCAGACTTTATTCTCTGAATTTTGACTTTAATCTGTGAATTATGACTTTATTCTCAGAATTCCGACTTTTTTCACAGAATTCCGACTTTAATCTCAGAATTCTGACTTTTTTTCTTAGAATTATGACTTTTATCTCAGAATTTTGGATCTTAATGTAGATGGGGGTCCATGAAGGAAGAGATGTGGGAGCACTCAGCTTCACTGACAAAGATGTGAGTTATTTGAGAGGGCCAGTAACGAATTGATGGAAAATTATGGAATAAGGTTAATTTTAACGTGCCCGAGGGGTCTCGGGTGATACTATTTAATGAATGGAAGAGCAGAAGGTTAATAAAACAAGAGAGCTAGTTTAGTCTTTAAAATCGACATGGCTACGGCTTGAGGCTAACATGTTAGTTCGCTGTGAGGATTTAGTCAGAATTTTGAGAAAAAGTCAAAATTCTTACTTTTTTCTCATATTATTCTGAAATAAAATTTAAAAATCTGTTAACTTTTTTATTTTTTCAGTGGCCCTAATCCTAATAATAATAATAAAAAAAAAGCCAATTTCCAGGGGAATTTTGAGGTCACTATCGTTTTCTGACCTGAGAAGCTTTGATGAAGATAGAGATGAAATATTTTACCAGAACCTCCCCACACCGCAAAAGGTACCAGAAACATGGTTTCATACTTGATCACAGAAAACTTACCAGACCTAAACTCCTATTGAATAGAAATTCCTCTTTAATAAAACCTTATATGTTTGCTTTAGACATATTCTTTATCTAACATTATGTATTGGTATCATTTTTAAATGGCTTCATATTTGCTTGTGCAGCGTTTTGGGTTTTTTTTTTCATATTTTTTCCTTCCACTCAACTTTTCACTAATATCCTTGACATTTCAATGACTTCCTGCTATAACCGACAGTCAGCATTCTTCTTATTGTCATTTAGATCATAATATCTGTCTGTCTGTCTGTCTGTATATCCAGAAATGTGTAGATATAACCTTTTTTTTTATTAAACCTGTTTAATTCTCTAAAATCTGACATGACTTTTTTAATTACATCTGCTATAAGCAATAATCCTCAAAATGAATAGTGAATTGCATGACTATATAAATTACTGCTATAAATGGCATGTTTATATAATATTCTGATTAACTGTGTAGTCTGGCTATAACAGATTCAGAGAGATGTGGTTTGTTGAGATTTTCTAAATTCTCAGAAAACACAGCAGCAGAGTGAGGCATCATGGAGGACTTTTCAGCTTTTAAAATCATCAAACTGTTTGCTCACTCTGGCAGCTTTTGAACTGAACAAATGAGGAACCCAAGAACGCAGAGGAAGTTGGCCAATAATTGCAGACTGGATTTCTCAATGCTGCCTTGTTTTTTTGTTGTTTTTTTTAATTTTTTTAGGATGTTGAGCAGCAAAGCTGAACATCCCTGGAAAAAAAAGAAATGTTTGCACTTAGAAAAAATGAAGAGGAGTTCTGTCAGACCAGCACAGTTTCCTCCTTAGTTACTTCTTTTATGTGTCATAGTGTGAATGAAACTGCTGATGGTAGACATTCTAACACAAGCTGAGAGTCGGTTCTGTCTGAGAACTCAACTTTAAAGCTTTCAGCCTTTTCTGACTCAACTTCCCTTTACACTTATGGTGAAACATACCATGTTCTGCATGTATCTGTTGTCTTTTTTTGGTTTTTCTTTTGCCTAAGTATGAAAAAAACATTGTCAGTACTTCTCTGCCTGTGACGCCACTTCCTTTTGAAGAAACAAAAGAAGAAAAAAACATATTTCTGCTGTATTATCTGTGGGGAGAGATGTTGTCAACCTACACACCTCTCAATACATGTTTCTGCTGGTTACTTTTGACAGGCTGCCTTCCCTTTGTCTGTTGCACCTTCCATGGCTGCTGATGACTATAACCCTGTGAGTATTCTACATGTTCTTTTTTTTGTGACATTTACAGAGGCTATACTTCTGCTTCTCTTATTTAATGTTGACAGAACTCTAGATATGAATTATTAGGGCTTGTTAGCCTTCACATCAGGATGAAAAGCTGCTTTTTACCTTCTTTATTTCCTATTTTAAATTCTAATGAAGGCAGAGAGACTCTAGAGTAGATAGACGAGGCAGAAGCTGAACATTAAAGAACAGCAAAAAAAAAGTCTATGCTTGTGTGAAACAGGATGTTAAGCGACGATTTTCTTCTCTGTTGTTGCGTGTGACAGTTTTCTCTTCTTGTCTTCCTCCTCTGATCTCCCTGTTGTCCTCTCTGAAAGGTCTCCCTGAGGCACAAGTCAAAGAAGAAGAACCGGGGAGGTAAGCTTGCTCTTTTAGCTTCGCATCTACAGCGAGTTTTGCCCCACAGCTGTACTTTGGACCACCGGTGGGCGTGTGATAAGAAAAAGGGCAATTAGTGTGTACAGAGAGGTTTTAGGCAACCCACAGTTACTTTCATATCATTTCTTTTCTGCTCTGTGCTCTGTGTTCTCTCTCTTCATTTCTGAGAATGCAACTTTTATGCTTTTTAATGCTGCTCCTTTAATGATCACATCAGGTAAGGGTCACTGGGATCACAACAGTTTAGAGCTGAGAGCGTTGCAAATGGTTGCGTTATTTTTAGAGTATTGAGCATTTTAAGTGACCTACATTGGCTCGGATGGAAATGTTTTTTGTGTGTGTGTCAGTTAGGATGCTAAAACCAGTAACCAAAGCATCAGACAGATGCTTTGGTTACTGGTTTGTTTGCGTTAAACAAGGAAGTGGACTGAGCTCTTTGCATCTTTTGTAATCAGGCAATGGTACCATGAGCAGAAGACGAGTGTCCGTCAAAGAGCTCGGTCAGCCGGACCATCAGGGCTGGCTTTACAGGAAGAAGGAGACCAAGGGCTTCCTGGGGATAAAATGGAGGAAGTACTGGTTTGTTCTCAAGAGAACGGCTCTATACTGGTACACCAACCAATTGGTAAGTAAAGAGAGAATTCAGTTTGATGTAGGTTTGTTTGAAATTTAAAGAACTGCTACAATGTTTTGATGTGTTGAGCATTTTTTCGGCTTCTTCTGACCTGTTGTCGAGGTAGCAACCACAACATCAACATATTATATGGTTTTTATTTTCTTTTTTTGAGGAAGGGAAATTGGTTACACTGAGTTTTATTGATGGGATGGAACAAGTCTGAAATTTAAATACAAAGGAACGTCACACATCTGAGATATTTATTTTATGATTCTATCTCTATTTTTGCTGTAGGCTGTAGTTTGTGGTCGTATGTTACATAACGCCACAATAAAGCTAATGTTAATGGTTGTAATCTGGTAAAAATTAAAAAAATGATCTTAAATGTCTTAAATGGTTTTATTTAAGAGTTTAAGAGTGAAAGGGATTACAAAAAAAATGGCACTGTACAGAATTTTCTTAATTTGAAAAATTGAAAAATCAATATCTCTGTCTCCATGCACTAAAATGCAGTACTTTATTTTTTAATTCATCTCATAAATATGATTAAAAGTGTTTTGCAACAAAGAGCAATTAATTTCCGTTAGCCTGTTTGTTTAGCACCTTATGCCTGACTCAACCAAATTATATCACACATGGTTATGGGGGGGATGTGACAGCAGCTGCAGACTTTGTGCTTCAATTCATATTTGGAAATGTTCTATATTTATACTGAAATTGTGATAGAAGAACAATTACTGTGAAAAAAAATCCAACTTAAACCCTAAAAAAAGAGAGATATGATGTATTTTTTAACTGCAATAATAAAATTATCACCTAATTTAGCATTTTATATTGCAGTTAGCTTGGAGAATGTTGACTTTTCTGTAAGAGACAGAAATGGGAAGCTGAAAAGCATCAAAGAGTCAACTTTAACAAATCGTGTATCTTTGTGTTTCCTCCGACTTGATTTTTAAACACCTGACCAATGAAGAAAGTGACTAACTTTGCCTAATCATTACTTAGTAACAGCATCCTCTCTAAGGAGTGTTCTTGTCAGTCTGAACTAGTAGACTTTATGATAAATGCGCTGATTGGAACCAGATTTCTTAAAAACCGAAAATGTCATTGGAAAAAGTAACATTGCAGTGTTATTTAGTTTTTTTTTAACCGTATGAAGCTTAAGTTTTGGCCACAAAACACTGGAGATTTTTGAAAATATTGTTTAGTTTTTCTTTAGTTAAATTGCTCCTAATGAAGTTACTATTTTGAAGAAATATTGCTGTTCTTCGCCCATTTTTTCAGTCTGGGGGGGCATGATTCATATCTTTGTTTCAAATTTTTTTTGTAGATGTTAGTATATTTATCGTAACTGGGAAAAATAAATAATTCCCTGTCAAAAAATAATCATATAAAATTATGAAGGTTCGCTTTTCTCTACAGATAAAACACACTTTGAAGTGATTTTTCTATCAAAATTTGTTTTTTATTTACTAAAAAAAATGGAACATTAAAAGGTTGTCTTTTAAAACTTTGCTACTTGCATAAAAAAAACAATGAACACTGAGTAAAGCGGCATGGACTGAGTCATAAGACTCATGTGAGTTCCTCTACCTTCGTCTCCCTGCCGGTCATGCTGCAGCTCTGTTTCCTGTTTGGCGCTGCGTCACCACCAGGCTATCTGCACAGATACGGACAGACTGACGTACAAGTCTTGCTTCCTTGCAGATTTCTTCATTTTTTTTTTTTACATTAAACAGATGATATTGCACCTAGATCCCCTGAGTGAATACAAAATGCAGTGTTTGCCTGAAGATCACAGCCATCAAACTACATTCACATGATGATGGGTCTTTTGCATGGCTGTAGAGGGATTCTGGCCCACTCCTCTGAGCAGAATCATTCAGCTGCTTTGGAGGATATCTGGGCATGAACAGCCAGGTTGAGGTCCTGGCACTGTGTGGCTCCATTGGATTCAAGTCCTTTGACTAGGTCAAAGCCTATCAGCAGCGAGCTTGCTAGTGTGTATCATCATCCTGCTTAATAACACCTAAAATGTGCATAAGCTAACAAAGAGGATCATAGCCTTTATTATTAATCACATATCTTGTGGTATAGTGATAACAGTAGAATTGATCCTAAATATTCTTTTTACAATAAAGCATATTCTAGTGGTTTTAAATCTGAGTGCCACAAGCAGGATTATTCCTTTCATAATAAAGCTCACACCAAATGAAAAAGTCTAGAGCGCTTCAGCAAGATAAAAAAAAATACATCATCAAACGGAGTTATTTATTTCATAATAAATCTATAGCCTTAAATACAATTCTTACTACCCCTAAACTCTTGTTATCTCATTAATGAATGCATGTTTTGTCCACTCTTTTTTTTTTTTTTTTATTGGATCATAAATTATGACTTAAACTGATGCAATTTTTTTTCCGCTTAGGATGAGTCACTGATCTACGGAAGAGGATTAGGGCCACTGAAAAAATTCATAAAGTTAACTGATTTTGAAATTTTATTTCAGTATCGTATAAGAAAAAAGTCAGAATTCTGACTTAATCTGTGAATTCTGACTTCTTTCTCAGAATTCTCACAGAATTCTGACAGCTAACAAAAACATGTTGGCATCAAGCCGTAGCCATGTCTGTTTTAGAGACTAGCTCTCTTGTTTTAATCACCTTCTGCTCTTCCATTAATTAAATGGCATCAGGGACCCCTCGGCCACGTAAAAAGTTGCCTAATTCCATCATTTTCCACCAATGTGTTACTGGCCTTCCCAAACAACTCACATCTTTTTCAGTGAAGCTGAATGCTCCCACATTTCTTCCTTAATGGTGCCAATCTACATTGAGATCCAAATTCTAAGATTAAAGTCAGAATTCTGAGGAAAAAGTCAGAAATCTGAGAAAAAAGTCAGAATTCTGAGGAAAAAAAAGTCCGAATTCTGAGGAAAAAGTCAGAAATCTGAGAAAAAGGTCAGAATTCTTCTTAGATTAAAGTCAGAATTCTGACTTTTTCCCCTTATTAAACTGAAATGATATTTAAAAATCAGTCTACATTTTTTTCTTTTTTTCAGTGGCCCTAATCCTCGTCCTTACTAATGGGTTTTCCTTTTTCCGATATGAAGATTAATTAAACATTAACATAGTCACACTTAAACATTTAAGTGTGACTAAGGAAAAAAAAATCAGCTCTCAAAATCTTGTCCGTGGTAACTTGTTTTTTTTAAAGACACTGTAGCGTGATGGCTTTGGTCATACTTAATGTATGCCGCCAGCTGCAGTTTGGCGACAGGAAGTGGTTTGAAATCTGTTGCTGCTTCTTAGCTCTCACCCTCATTACAATTTCTGTCGCAGGCGGAGAAAGCAGAAGGCTACATTGACCTCACCAACTTCATGATCGATGTAGCCATCGAGTGCAAGAAAAAACAGTAAGTTCAGAATTTTCAGATCTTGGTTCATCAGGATGACGTGATTGTGATTCATCAGACTTTGTTTCACTAAAGATGGAACTTTATTTATATCCGCTGCTGGTTATTATAGGAAATGTTCCCACACGCTGTGACGGGAACGTTTAATTTCGTAAAAACAGTGTAAAAAGGGATCTATAACATAGAAAAGTCACTTCCTTTTCCACTGATCACATCTATGGGTTAGATCATTTAGATTATTTCTGCATTGGTGTTCCCAGAACATCTTAATGACCTCCATCAAGAGTGGCTTGAAACGACAATGAAACATTTTTGAATTGTCTCTATTTGCTGAGAGCAATGATGAAGCCACAAAATAATCTTTTGTATTAAAATATTCCAAAGCTGTCTCTCTAAATGTCTGCTTCTTCTCTCACAGTGCATTCAAAGCCTGCCACCCTCAGGTCATGATGTTTTATTTCGCGGCTGAGAGCCATGAGGACATGAATCTGTAAGTTACAATAGAGTACAACTTGTTTAAAAGCTGCTGTTCATTTTCAACATATATGTATTTTTTCTTCTCAGATGGTTGAATAAACTCGGGTTGGCTTCTATCCATTATGAGCAAACAGAACAAGCCACAACAGCTGGTAAGCCACAGTGTTCAGCATGTTTCCATGACAGGTGTGATCACAAATTTAGGGCTTGTGACAAATGTGACAAATTAGAGCATTGAACATCTTGTGTTTTTTTACTTGTTGTGCAATCAGTGTTTCATCATGTGAGTTGATGTTTTTTCTTGTGTGTCTCAATCAAACATGGACATTTAGAGTGTTATAGTGAAGCCAGTGATCATGAAGAAGCAGAGAGCCCAGAGATCCCGCCTCCACCATACTCTGAACAGACCCTACGGGAGTCCCAGGATGTGCCTGATCCACCTGGGAGCACACATCAGGTTAGAAGACATAAAAAGGTTATTGGAAATGAGAACCAGCTCCTTCCTTCATTGTTTTCCCCTCATTTTGTCATAGAAGTAATATATTCAAACATGTGCCTTTGTAAAGTACTCATATGGAATATTTCCACCAGAATTCATTGCAGCCAAACTTAATATTAATTTACAAGCTAAAACTTACGCAATAATATGAAATATGACTGTTTAAATGTTCTTCCATAAATTTGATCTTTTATTATTTAAACCTGAACAATGAAGTTAAATCATATTTTGCCTCATGCAGCACCAAAATATGCCTAAAAAAAATAAAAACGACCTCAGTTAATGTCACTGTAAATATTTCTTTCGCTTAGGTCATGGAAATACGCAATGGTTAGTATTACAAGGATCGAATCCATGTTTAAAATCCATTATTTTCATTCTTAGAAATGTGGAGAATTATTATAAATTTCAAAGAACTCAGCTCAGATGTGATGATTCAGATTCACACTTGTCCATCAATAGCTGCGTAAATCTGGAGGACGTCCGGTAGTCGGAAATCCTACTGACCTGCTGGCAGATGATGATGATGATGATGATGGCTGGGTTATTAGCTGCTCTAATATTTATATATTATATATTTTCTAATAAACTGTACGTGGCTTTGCCAGATCAAGCTCTTACTATCCCCCCTTTTTTCTTTAAAAGGCGCTAAATGAAAGGTTTCGTATTTAACACTCGCCCTGAGCCGTATGCATGAGAGCCACACCAGTATGTTGCTCAGATTTTTGTAAAAACCCTTAAAAATGTGTTTAAATAGAGGCGCTCATATTGCTATAATGCCAGATCTGTTAATGTCACGTTTGCTTTTTAAATGCATTTTAATCACAAAGCTGTGCATGTTTATTATTCGCTAAAGTAGTGGCATGTTGGCTTCTGGCAGGTTCTGAGCAGAGGGCTGTATTCTAGTTCATTTTATTTATTTTGGGCAAAATCCTAAATCATTAGAACATGAAGTGTAGACTACTTCACACGCTTGTGTGGTGATTTCACTCCTTACAAGAGAAATACACAAGAAATACATTTGAGGAACAACTTTCAACTGCAGCAAAACCAGTTGTGTCATCTCCCAGAAAAGACTACTAATAAATATATTGCAGAGGTTTATTTTGTAATGAAACAGAGTGTAAAATTGTTTTAATTGGGTTCAGTGAAGCAACTTGACGGCGCCTTTTGGACTCCATAAACATATTATAATCAAAACTCTGCAAGTTTAAGCCAGTTTCTTTATTGACTCCCTGATGCTGTTTAAAAAAGTTGTTGGTTGGCTATAATTAATCTACCTGCAGTATTAGATTAGATTAGATTAGATTAGATTAGATTCAACTTTGTTGTCATTGCACAGGTACAGGTACGAGGCAATGAAAGGCAGTTTAGGTCTAACCAAAAGTGCAATAGCAGCAAGTGCAGGATAAATAATGGTTCTATAAATACATGACATGGGTTTCTACTCAATAAGTATAGAGATGAATACCATTATAAACAGAATCTTACTAATAAATGAATATAATATTTAGATAACTAGTGTTTTAAACTAAATTTACAGCTGAATATGTACCGAATATAATATACATGTGGATATTACTATAAAAAGGGTTTTTATAGTTATGTACAATAGCATATATACAGATGGGTTTTACTATAAAATGAATAAATAAAGTTTGGACAGAAGCTATCTAAATGAAAGTTCAGTTTAAGGTAATTGCATATTACAGTTAAAGTACGTTATTGCAGATGTAAATGTAAACAATTAGACAAAAAATGGTGACAAACTCCCTGTTGGCCTTTTGTTTTGTTGTGTTTGCTTGAAAATTGCGAGGCACTTTCTGTTTATCTATACTAAAAAAAAAAAAACAATAAAATGCATCAAGGTTTGTGTTTGTAACATAAGCAAATGTCAAATAGCTCAGAATATAAGAATGCATCTAATACATCATTTAATTTTTTATTTTTCAGGGTACTCTTCCACCTCCCTATGCTTCCGCTGTTCCTGCGGAAGCCAGCGATTTGCTCTCCTCCCCCGTCAGTACGATGACTTCGCAGAGCTCCGCCTCCTCGCTTGCCAAGCAGCGGCAATCCTGGATGGACCTTGTCTCCCAGGCGTCCTCTTCTCCGGCCGGGGAATCGGCGGTAATTTGCTCTGTTCAAGTCCACTTGCAAAAAGAGAGAAGCGGAGGGGGAGGATCATTGGAAAACTCCATTCCCCAGGACTCCTCAAATTCAAATGGGTCCAACAGAGAGATGGGCGTGGTGGAAGGGGAGGAGCAGAGGGATGTTTTAGCACCTCAAAATCAAGGTGAATGCTTTAAATGTCTTATTAAATCATAGTCCTTTTATGTGCTCTCTTTCTGTTTAATTTTAGAGGTCAGAATCTAATGTTCTTCAAGTGTGTTGTATAATAAACTGCAACCTCATTCTTTGTGCAGGAAATCGTGAGAATAGCTCAGATGAGATGGAAAAGCTCTACATTCATCTGAAGGAGGCCAGTCTCTCGCCAATAGGGGATCGAAAACCTTCAACAAAAAGGGAATTCAGGGCTTCTTTTGTAAAACGCTGCAAAAACCAGACTGTTAACGATAAGCTACACCATATCAGGGCACTCAACAGCACGTTAAAGGTACATAACACACAACTTTTGAGGTTTTAAAGTCAAAAAGTTCGATATTGTATTTAATTTTTGAATTGTTTGTTTGTTTGTTTTTGTCACAGTCTAAAGAAGCGGACTTGCAGGCAATAGAGCAGGTGCTATCTGACCCAGAGCTTACCTCGGATAAGTTCAGAGAGTGGAAGGAGTCCAATGGACCTCTGATGCTGGAAATCTGTGTCAAAGACGACCAGAAGGGGGCGCCAGAGGCTGTAACTGGTGCAGCATCAGTCACTGCTGCTCCTGTTGCAGAGACTAGTTTATAAAGTGTCCAATTATGAGCTGGTTTACTGTATTTGGACTTGGACCTTATGGTTGCATACCATGAGAATGCAAACTTACTGCTGTGATTAATTCAGCCTACACTTCAGTTCCACGGAAGAGCATATGAGGTCTAACGTGTCTGACTTTGTAAAGTGTTTTTATCTAAATATATATGTGGAGATGGGATGAATTTACACAAAAATGTGAATTCAGTTTTAGTATTACTTTCACTCTCCAGTTGGAAGGAATAGTGTTTTTTTTCATTATGATTCCCACTGTATTATATAAAATGATTGAGTAGCTTGAAAAACGTTGGTCTTCTGCACAGAAACACTGTTTTGTTGTTTTTATTGTATAATTTATCTGTGCATTAGGCTGTAGTGAACAAATACTCAGATTCTTGTTTTTACGTAGTTGTCTGCTAATTATTGGTGCTATGCACCAACTTTGCCTGTTACAAGCAGCCCTACAGCCAGGATTACTTTGCTTTTCTCTAGATGTCATGTTATGGTTAATAACTGTTCTGACTGAACAATACGCTCTGTAGTTACAATAAATCACAAACCCTGAAACCCTAACTTCAGATTCATAGGAGTCAAATTATTGTTTCTTTACTGTTTAAGTATTAGGATAAAGACTTAGAATGTCCTTCAAAACCATAAATATTGACAGTATGTTCGTTTCATTTCGTGTGATAAAGATTTTATAAAAACGCAGCCCAACTTTGGAGTGTGTACAAAAAAAATATGTTTTACAAAAACCTTTTGGACTATGATTTCACACATAATGTGCGTGGATGCATCATTTAGATATGCAATTAGTGTTTGCCAATGGATGGTTGATGCTCTGTTTCACTACAAAGCAACTTTCTGATATTGTCATGTTTTAGCTGGTTGAAAACCATCCAGGTGTTTGCATAGCAGGTAAATAAGTAAAGAATTCTATGCTAAAATATGCAAAAAATAAAACAGTTACATCTAATTTGAAAACACTTATGTTGGCACTGCACTGGAAAAACGACCTAGAAATAAGTAAACATTTCTTAAATTAAGTGTATTTACCGGTACCCTTAACTTGAGTAGGTAAAGGAGGTGTTTTGCCAATGAAGTATTTTCACTCTTAAAATAAGATAATTAGATAATATGCACTTGAAAAAAGACAATGTAATTGCGTTTTCTCGTTTTAAACGTTAATTGTCTTGTTCCATTGGCAAAATGTCTCTTTAACCTCCTCAATCCAAGAACAAATGCACAAAATTACTTATCTAGATTTCAGTTTTTTTCCAGTGTGGTTTAGTTTTTGTAAAGCTTTACAAATTATTACTACAATAATTCTAAATTTATTTGACAAATTGTGTTGGGATTTTATTCAGCAAAGGCTGCCCTTATGTGACTTTACATGTTTTAGTTTTTTGGATTAACGTTCGACATAATTATCACAAAACCTAGAGGGTCCTGCCTGGATCACTTTGAGAATTTGTTTATTTTTGTCTTTTCTTTATGTAAAGGTTGTATGTAAATATGTTAACAATAAATATGTGTCCTTTTAATATGATTTGATTGTAGTTGTTCTTCTTTTTGCTATAAAAGAGCAGTGCAGATTTTCTACTTGGCTGTTCTTTATCAGATTTATAGTTTTTCAGCATGGGTTTGCAGTGCTTTGTTTTATTTTTTGTTTGTTTGTTTTTTGGCCAACTGTTATTCAATATTTTATTGATCCCAAAAATTAGGGTTTGCCTTAATCTGTAGATTTTCAGATAATGCATTGAGTGCATAACCTCTGGAGGAGTGCCCCAGAAGAAGACTCATTAATTGTAAAAAAAAAAAAAAAAAAAAAAAAAGAATTCTGTACTTTTCATGGTAGAAGTTATCAATTGTACTGCTGAGATGACAAAAGTAAACTGAAAAAAATCTAAATAATACTGAAAGCTACAGAAAAGTACCCTGAAGTGAGAGATTTAAACTGGGAAACGGTTGAAAATATGATGGGAAAACGAACAGGACCATCAGAAACTGGCAGAATGAAAGTAACTTAAAGATAAATTGAAATATTTGCTATTTATTATGCTGAGTTAAATAGTTAGAAAAGTTATGATTTAATAGTTTTATTTATTTAATCTTTTTTTTTCCTGGGGGTGAGTCATGTTTCCTGTTTCCTTGTTTAACTCCTTATCAAATGGTGATGGTAATGCACTTTAATTAGTTTGCCTACCGCCATAAAACCTTACAAGAAGAAGAAGATGATGATGATGATGATGAATTGAACAATGGATGTTTTGGTAAAACCTTGATGTCCTGGTGTAGATTTATTCCTAAAGGACTTTTCTTATCTGCTAAAGGCAGTGTTTAAAATTGGCTTTGTTTTATTTATAATGGGACTTCTAAAATAAATTATTTACTCCCGTTTATTTTAGAGGTATCAGAGCAAAGAAACCAAAGAAATACTACTTTTTTATTATTATTATTAAATCAACATAAATGACAACACAGGATACATTTACAGAGATAATATACCAACCCAAAATCCTCCCTCCCCTCACACTCATTCACATTCATTCACTCATTCACTCGTCCACAAATTACATTTTCATAATAAACATCTGAGAACTTCTCATTGGTTTTTATATTTTCTGGCTTCATCATCGGTTTCAACCATAAAACTTTCTAAAGTTAAATAATGTTGAATAAATGTTTTAAAGACATTAATACTAAGTGAAAATCTATGTTTGGCTTTAAAGATAAACTTTTTACCAAGTACAATTGTTAAATTAACAAAGTCATGACAGTTGATAAACTCTCCCAGTAAAACAGAAACCACATCAAGCTTCATAGACAGACCAATCCTTAAACACATTTTTTCAACTTCCACCCTAAATACAGACACAATATGACACACCGATACAAATTCAGGGTGGATTCAGACTCCTGACAACAGAAACGGCAATTATCTGACTCTGTCACATAGAAATTGTATATGATTTTAATTTGAAAATAATAATTTTGCACATCAACAGTAGTTTTATAAATAATGTAAGTATTTTATCTCACGGCAGCAGGCAGTCAAAGTAGTCCTCCCATTTTCCATATTTGTTATATCAGTGATTATTTTATTAAATAAAATGTATATATTTTTCTATTTATTTTAATTCCCTTTTGCCCTTTTGCCTTTTGACTAGAGTTTCTTATTGGAGGCTTACCAACATATATTTTAGTAGTTCCATTGTTAATTATTTTTTTCTATTTTTTCCCAATTACTCCAGTGAGTTGGTTAAAGGAAAAGTTTGAACAAGCATCACCATATATAATTCTAAATTCCTCATACTCCATAATGTTACCGTTCTTATTAAAAATGTCATTAACAAAGATTACTCCCCTTTTGAACATACTTTTCCAAAAGAAAGGCTGTCCATCTATTAATATATTAGAATTCATCCATATTATCTGCTCTCCATGAATGGATTATTTCCTTTATGAACACTGAGATTTTCCCAAGCAGACTCTCTTCATATGGAAAATGGGAAGACATCACTAGTATCATAATTTCTTTTGATACAATATATATGTTTTTTGTCCAATAGAACACTTCTATACCACTTATTGTTTGTTCACATCTTTGGAACAATTGATGCTTTCAAAGGCAAACACATAGCTTCAAGATTGAGGAGTTTCAAACCCCCATATTTATAGTCATTGTTCAAAACCTTTCTTTTTATCTTTTCTGGCTTGCCATCCCAGATAAAATCAAAGATTTTCTGTTCATAAAACTTAAAGAAAAATGTGATGGAGCTGGTAAAGGCAGAAATAAATGAACAAATTGAGAAGTAATTAAAGAATTAATAATAGATATTTTCCATACAAGGTTAAATTTTTCCCTTTCCATAATTGCAGAATTTTATCCTGCTTTCTTAGTCGTTATTATCATTATTTACTGAACTCCTCCAGATTCTCTTGGATCACAATGCCAAGTGTGTTAACTGGTCCATCTGTCCACACAACAGGCCCTTAATATTTCATTTGAAAGGATGTTTTTTTTCTTTAAACTTCCAATCCTTAATATTTTACTTGTATCATAGTTAAGTTTGAGCCCAGATTGCTCTGAAAAGATGTCCAAAAGGTTTATAAGGTCCGGTAAACAATAAGGATTGCGACTAATGAAGAAAGTTGTATCATCAGCATACATTGCTATTTTACTTTCAATATTATTATTAATAGAAAAAAAATACTTACCATGACACAATTCACGTGTTTTTATGTATAAAACAATCCATTCCATTCAATTTCATAATTTAACAGCACGATGTGTTAATCTAAAACATGAAATCCTATAGAAATACATGGGGAGAAGTGCTGGTAACACAAAAATATGTACGAAAAGCTAAAGAAAAACTGATATGGTCTTTAGGGCAGTGTACTGTATGTTCTTGATGTAATAAAATTTTTTTTATGTTGTTACTGTAACTATACAGTTGTATGATTACGTCACTATTTTTCACCACAGTGTTTTTTGGCACTGCACTATAGAGCTATACTAAAAAAAGGAAATTTCTTTCTGTATACACTTGTGTGTACAAAATAACAAAATAAAATCTAAGTCTTATATCTACAACATGTAGTTCCCACATGTTGCCATTAGGAGTCGCCCTTCTGTCAGCATATTCCCTATTGAGGTTATGCGCCATATTGCCAGTCTCCTCCATCTCACCAAACACCGAGCATGCACGTCTTACACCGGTTATAGAGGAAATATATTTATATTTTCTAGAGACCTGCGAGCGAAAACCCAACATCATGGAGGCCGTCAAAGCCTTCAACAACGAGGTTTGTGTGTAACTAGTGGGGGGAAAAATCCTAAACAGCTCGTGTACCTGTTGTTAAGCTCCGTTTTTACAGGCTAGTTAGCTAACGTTAGCAATGTTAGCAAAGGGGTAGAGGAGGGCAGTATAACACAAGGCCGCAAAATATCATTACCTCCGAGGTTATTCAAGTGTAATGTGCCAGTTAGTGCAGGCGTGTGTTTAATATTGTTCTTAAAGTATTTATTTTTACTTTATATTCGTAATATTTATTTAGGGCAGGTAGGTTTTTAAAGCTACAAACTAGCAATAGCTTAAGGAAACAGTACACGATAACTTGTTGGGTTAGCTGATTTAAATGATATACCACACCTCGACATAAAGTTTGCTTTGAATTTGCCCTTGTATTTGTTTTATATATGCATGGTTCAGTATACTATATCAAAAATAACATTGCTAAAACGTTCCCTGGATGTTGCGTCTAGTTGTATTATAGCACAGAGCTAAAACAAGCGCCGCAGTTATTTGTCTGTGGTTCTGTATTTGATCCACCCCGGCCACCGTAAATGCAGACTTCACTGTTTTCTATACCCCGTCTTACTAGAAAACTTTTGGTGTTAATGATTGGACCGACTAGGGATAGCAAACCTAATCAACTACTGATTGTTATCAAAATAAAAGAGTTAAATAGTAGATTAATCCACCTCTGTTTGATGACAGAATATTTCAAACGTTTGCTTATTGTAATATTTTACTCTCATCTTTCAGCTGTACACATTGACTGAGTACAAGCCACCCATCTCTAAGGCCAAGATGACTCAGATCACCAAGTCAGGAATCAAGGCCATAAAAGTAAGTATATTGAAGGATAAGGCAGGTAATCAAAGAATATAACAAACTGCACTGAAACAAACTGCAGTCTACTTATTAAATGATACTCTAAATAATAAATTATCTAAGATTCCCCCCTAAATAGATTCTAAGTTAGATGTTATTTAAAGTTTTATTTCATTAATATACTTATTTCTAAGGGCTAAGGCTTGTATGCAGAAAGCATCGAAACTTTTCCAAATGAAAATTTTCATTTTCAAAATGAAACTTGTGCTGCATGTCAAAATTTAATTTGGCATTCAATAGTTTCACCTCATTGTAACTATTGAAAGTTGAATCACAGTCAATGTAAGTCAACAAAAGACTGATTTGATGCAATAGATAAAAAATATACTTTGGTAAAGTGTTACTTTTCAGTTGTGATTTCATTCACCTTTGGCATTAAACTAATAATTTTGGCGTTTTGGATAAATTCTATCTGCCACTTTTGCTAATACCTGATTTAAAGATGAGTAGATGATAATGCTTAGAGGAATTGGTGAGAAAATCTTTTAGATCTATACATAACTTAGAACATCCTAGAACAAGACTTGGCATGTGCTTCAACTTATATTGGCATTTCAGAATGTTTGAAGATGGTGCTGGTGATGAAATTGCAACAATAGTCGAACTAGTTATGTTTTACAATAATTTAACATGTTTTGAGGTTAGATAAATGCTTTTACGACTATAAACCAAGTTGTAACACATATCTTTTTAATTTAGCTGAATACATTAGTGACCCCTCTAGGTATTAATTTGCTTTATAGCTGATTTACAGTTGGCAGTAAAAGCATTTTTTTTTTTACTTTGTTAATTATAACTTCTAGTGGGTTGGTAAACATAACTTAAATGGTGTTGCTTTACAAACATTATTAGTAACATGTTCCAGTTTTGAAGATGATGCTATAAGATGATGATATAAGGCTAAAACATGGGAGGACCACTGCTAAGGTTTGTTGTTGTCTTTGACCACAGTTAATTTTGTTTAGAAACAGATAATCTGATTAATAGATTATTTTAATAACCATCTACTAATTTAGTAATAGATTAATAGTTAACTGGAGTTTACAGACTCTTAAAACATGCCTTTAGCTAAAACAGAAACCCACTCAGTGGGGTGTTTATGCTTATGTTGGGGATGGGGTGGGGGGAATTAAATACTTTGTAATCAAAATTAAAACTTTTTTTTGTCTGTGGATATGCTCCCGTCATTGTAGTTTTAGCTTCACCTTGTTTATATTTTGTTTTCTTTTTTCAAGATGCCTTTTGTTATATGGTTATTAATTAAGTACAAGAATTATAAAAAAAATAATTCAAATAGCAAATTGTAAACAGTAAACATAGTTTTAATGTCTGCAGCTACTTTTGTGGTGAAAATATGACATTTCCCATCATATATAATTGAATATGGACAACAATAAAGAATTTCTTCAGGATTTGTGCTTTTTTTGGGAATGCTAAAGCAGGTGTTTTTGTGTATAGTTTTCTGTTCATGTTAAAAAAGATTGAAGACAGTCTTGTTTTTCAAAGTTTATCTGTTTAAGAGGCCGAGCTTTAAGAAATATTGTTAGTTTAAGGTCCTTGTAAGATGAATATTTTAGGGGTAACGTGTTCACTTTTGTTTACAGTTAAGCTTTTCAGATCACCATATACATTTCAATATCAGAGAAATATCAACAGAATAAAAAGAAATGTGTTTGATGTAGATTATTTATAAGTAGAAAAAAATCTATTCAAACCCATCTGGTTCCTTGGGAAAAAGTAATAAGTCAGGATTTAATTGGTTGGAAAGCTACTTTTCTTCAGTCAGAATATAAAAGAAAAACCCTGTCCAACAACAGGAAGTTGGCCAAAAGATCTCAGAGCAACATATCTCTCCATGATATAAAATATCCAAAAATAACAAAGTGGTTGACATCAGTCAACCTAAAAGCTACAAGTGAGCTGCCAAAATGAATACTTTTTATTGCTCTTCTTGGTGTTGGGATTTTGTGATTGTGTTTTAGTGAGTAAACAAGCACACATCTTGTTTTTCATATCCAGGTTTTTCATTGTTCTATTTTTAGTTCTACTCAGACTCTGTGCTTTTTCTTTATTTTTGTCTAAGATAAAGATGCGGGGATTTCTTGATCGTACAAGCTTGTTGTTTGTTCACACAAAGCCATTTGTGACGGATCACTCACAAATATCTGAAGCAAGGTTGTGAAAATGGGGATTGTTGAGGACAGCATAAAAATGTTTTATTTTTGGTAATAAACATGCATGCCGCAATGCATCCCATTATAGTTTCAAGCATCACAATTAAAGAAAATATAGTATTAGTAGTTGGTATTACACAAAGCTCTTGTTATTAAAATATAAAGTAACTGCTATAGTGTCTGTCCTGGAAAGCAAGAGTTGATTTGAGCAGTTTGTTTCCATTTCTTGGTGGACCTCAATGAAATGAAGAATGAAATATTTAATTTTGTAATGATCTGTACTTTATTTTAACACAGAAATTTATGCTGTGATCTGTTGCTTTAGGGTTCTTTATGTTGGCCTGTATTTAATGTGTGTCTAACTCTCTCTTAGTTGGGCAACAGCCTTCCTGAGCAGAAACACCCTAGTTTCATTTTAATTTAAGCGTTACATTTTTAGTCTGGTTTTCAAATTAAACAAGTAGAGTAATCAAATAATATTTTCTTAGTCTATTAAAAGGGATATTGAAGTTTTCTTAAAGGGGGATTTCACCGAATATTTACCCAAATGTAAAGGACTCTGTGATTGGTCAGGCAAGAATTGTTACTGATATATCATAAAATAGTTTCTCATCTTCTATCAAAAGGAAAGAATAAATTAAAATAGATGCAGGAGAAATTGAAATGACAAAGGAACCATCAGAAAATCCTTTTTTTTTATTTATAAACTGTTGCTGTTTGCTGCATAGAATATTTGACCATTAGAGCTAACATAAAAAAAAAAGTGGATATGAAAAGTTAAACCAAACTGACTTAATTCATGAGATTGCGAAAAATATAAATGTAAAAGAGAAAAAAACAAAGCTTTGTTTCACAATGTTTTGGTAAGGGCACCGCCATGTTTTTGGTAAGTCAGTTTGGTTGAACGTTTCATTTCCACTTTCAAACATTAGTCTTTCCTTATTAATACTAGGTTTTGTTTTTCTCTAACATCTTCTGTGTTGTTTTCTTTTTGTTGTTTTCTACCAAATATAACACAAACAATACAAAAAGTGTTACTTTTTAATCCAGATGAATCCAACAAATAAGGATAATCCTCTTCATGCATTACAACTCATCCCCCTAAACTTCATAGAGTTTTGCTTCTATGTCAGAAAGAGCATATAACGTAGATTCTGTTAATTTATTATTATTTTCCCTGAATTGAAGGCATTCTTAATTTAGTTTAAAGGAAGAAAATTTAGAATATATATTTTATTGTGTTAACTTTCAATATTTGACCTTTTATTAGGTGGTAAAATAGAAACTATGAAGGAAAACTCAAATATTCTGATCTGTTGTGGATTGATTCGTTACTAGACATCATCCCCTACTCTTTCAGTAGACATATTTTTTTTGCAGACTGAACATTATTTAAGGATAACAGCCGTTTACTGATATATTTTAGTAGTCATCTTTAATTGCACCTTTTCCTCAGGCAGATCTGTTTTTTTTTTTTTTTTGGTGCTCCTTTGCTCTGTGTTGCCTGTGAATAACTCCTGTTTCCCCTTCCCTCAGCAGCTCTCCCAGCTCCCCCAAAGCACTGAAAGTGAAGCAGGAGGATGGGGTGGAGAGAGTTACAAAGAGATAAGAGAGTCCCTAACCAGCTTAGGTAGGAGTATGGGTTGTTATACAAGGAGGATGATAGAAGACTAAAAACACTTGATCTTTATTTGCTCCCACACACCAGCAGAGGCATTTTTTTCATGCGTCGGTTGATGTTGAGCTAATAATTGTTGGAGAAGGTACTCAGGATATTTTCTTATGTAATAGTATGAAGCCAACAGCCATGTTTGAGTGATTAACACAGTGCGCTTTTTGATTTTCATTGTAGTCATACAGATCAGGATTAAAGCAATAATGTGCTTGTTTAAGGGGTTTTAATAAGGCAGGTTGTTGTCGTCATGAAATGCTGAATTGTTGGCATTAAACTAGTTTCAGTGAATTAGCCTTTTTCTGTAGCCTAGGAGACACAGCATTGATGCACTTTATTCTGCAAAACAAGATGGACATAGAGCAGAGGCATATTGAACAAAATCTGGAGATGTTTGGTGTTTTAGTACATAGGTAAAATATTTTAAGGCATATTGGTACCATTAAAGTGTGCAGTACGATCCTTCAGAGGGACTCTGCTGAGTTTGATGTCAGCTACTAATCATTTGGTGTTTGCTTCATTTGTTGTTGCTCTGTGACCAGAGGAAATTGATCAAGGAAACAAATTATTTAATTGTTTCAAGAGGACTTTTGTTCTGTTTTGTAATCGGAACTATCTGCACTTCAAAGTGTTCTGTCTTCATTATTTGTCTGTTGTTTAAATTGCCTTTTCGTACACTAACAAGTTTCTCAACTATACTTTCCTTTTACTGTGTCTTGAGGTTATTGACTTTAGTATTTTACACTATAATGCGTGAACTAAAAGAGAAACATTCCAAAAAAAATTGGTCTGTCCCAATTTGCATGTTTTCAAAACAAAAACAAGGTTTTGTTGGGCTACTCTATAAAACCTTGAACTCAAACTATTCCTGACGTTTTGAATTGAAAAAGCTTCCTGGATGGGAAGCGAAACATCTTCAAACTTGCAAACCAAGTCCAGTGGATTTTTTTTTATTTTTTTGGAATGACTATGACCTGGATGACTGAGAACCTTCACCAGCATAAACGAGGAACACTTTTGTAACTGAAATTATTATTTTAGTTCCAACAAACTATTGAAATTTTTAGGTTTAGATAAAGGGCTGCTGTAGACCAGCAAACAAATGTATT